AATTTGAAAAATTAATGATGTTGTTTATGAAAAAAAGCCAAAAGTATCACAGTTAGCTTTGTAAACACTTCATGTCTAACCTGTGTGTGTGTAATTGTAACACATGAACTCCTCCATCAGGTCATTATAGCCCCACATTACCAGAAACAATACAGAGGACATGACCTTGGTGTCCTCAGTGGTATGGCTGTGATTAGAGCAGGGGGGCTCAAAGTTTTGATGACTGAGTGCCAATTTAGGGAGCCGGCGTATCACTGAGGGCCTCACAGGTGAGAGAACATGAGATGCTGGGCACTTTCACCAACTAGTCCAAAAAACTCTTGCCATGCTTAGCAGTTTGTGAGCTCCCACATGGCTTTCCTGTTACACCCTCACTACGTTTCACAAGATTTGTGAAGACTGACTGTTGGGCTGTAAGTGTTGCTGAAACTGTCCAACCTTTGGGCTCTTCACCCATGAACTTGTCCTAGGATTTGTGACTGATCTCATTACGACCTTTAACATTAAATTCCTTAAGCACCTGTTTGCAGATCAGTTTATCTGTCCCCCCAGCTCCGATAAAGAAAGAGGTCATCCACCTTAACTCAAACCTCTTTTTCTCCTCACTCACACATCGTTTATTCACATTCAAGTGCCTAGTTGTTCACTGAACCGCTAATTTTAGCTAACACAAGTATTGATGTCCAAACGTAATTCCTGCGACACTCGCAAGGTGCCACTAGTTGCCAAGCAACCAGTAGCTTTCTACATGCTGTCATTCTTAACCTGACAGACACTTGTTAGGGGGGCGCAGTTTGACACAGTAGCTGAGTAGTGTATTAAATGTAAGCTATTGAAAGGAAAAGTATTGAACAGAAAATGTTTCTGAGGGCCCCCACAGGCCTGTGGGCTGCACTTTGAGCAACTGTGGTTTAAAGTGAGTCTTAGATTTCTTGCACAACACTGCATTATTCTTTTTGCTGAAGAGACACAGCTTTACAGAGACATTCGCCAATAGTTTTTCCAATAGATTATAATATGTTCAATGACAAATAATTCAACTTAGTGCTAATTCTGTAGTCTACATAAATTCTAAACACTAAAATGACCTTTACTTTTTTGACACAGTGAGTGCCAGAGCGTTGCCTCTAAACATGTGGTTGACACATGTCTGACAGCATCTGAAGGCAGCACTTCCCTGTTTACCTGTGGGCCATAGAAAACACATTTTTCAAAGGCAGTAGACTCCAGGGTCACGACCACACATTCCAGGGGAAAATCCTGACAAGACAAGAGAGTGATAAGCAGTCCATTGATCAGTAATGGTGATAATAATTCAGCAAATCTATAGGCACAAAGCAAACACAAAATCATCTTTATCTAACTGCCTCAGACATGATTATGATTTATCTCCTTTTATACTTAATTTATAGACTCTGGTTTTATAACCTGCATAGTCCAAGTGAGCAACAGTTAGATTTACTGCTACAAATATTCTCCCTGATGGCTGGTTCAGAACTCCCAGTTAATATGACTTCAAAAAGACATCAGACATCATTTCTCACAGTGTGCAGACCTGTAGGAGCTACCTTTATCTGCAAACAAAGACAGAAGACAGCATGTGTTGTTCTGTCTGTTCTGATGTCTGGTTTTATTTCTTTACACCTACTACTGTGAGTGCCGGCCCTCCACTGCGCCCTGTGTGAGAGAGCTTTTTGATTTGATCAAAGCCCACCAGATGGCAGCACAAAATAACAACAGGAGCCTGCGTTTTCCTTTAGTGCGCAGGTCGAAATTCAGCTCTGAGTGGTTTGAGTAGGCCTGAAGGATCTGGGGCATTACGCAAGTATTAAAGCAAATGGAAGCTGCCATATGTTTAAGAATGTATTTTTTGTAATATTATGATTTATGAGGAAAAGAGGACAAGACATACTCTACACTAACATGCTGTACACTAACATGGGCTCAAAACCATAAAGTGCCTGTGCATTAGCTATGCTGTGATTTTGAATGTAGATTTATTGTTCATGGAGGAGATTATCCCTCTGTGAAGGGTGATTTGGTTGCCACAAGGGTAGATACAAATCTTTAACTACAGCAGGTAGTCACACTCAGAGAGGACGGCCTGAACTTTGCACAGAGAGGCAGCTGACTGTAACCACGGAGATCAGGTTACATTGCTTAACTGGCTTACCACAGTTTGGTTTCTCAAGCTTCACTATCAGTTTGCTCCTGCAGCCCAGCCCTGGATAAGCAGATAAAAATTGATGGGTGGGTGAACTATCACTTTAGCTGCAATTTAACGCACATATTTATTTTAAAAATTAGTTAAACAACAATACAATCATGGAGATTAGTTGTGTTGATTTTGCAACTTGCTGCTCTTGTCCATCCAAACTTCCTGGACATGCTTTTCCATTAATGCTGTTTGCGTAACAACACGACACATCAGTACACAGAATCATTTGTCTTGCTAATTAAGAAAGCAAACAAAAGAGCATATCATGCCTATCCTTACGTCAACTGTGTAAGGTTATTTGCTGTCTGATGTGATGTTTGGTGTAAATGTTTAATACACACCCATGAATGCGATCCTGCCTGTTGTTGGTGCTATTGAGGCACACTCTTCTGCCAGACAATACTTTTCTTTTTACAAAACAATGGCTGCATTTTCACCTTTCCATTCTGATAAAGAAATATATTTTATGTTAAATGCTTATCCTTACAGCAGGTTATCATGAGTCCAGTTTAGTTTAGTTTATTTACAAGAAGACAGTGTGCAATGACATTAATCATTTACAAGAAATGAAAACACGGTTGCACCAGACTTAGCGAAATGCTAATTTCTGTAGTCTGTAGTCCTACACATAACAAGTAGATGCAAAAAATAAAAATGAAATTCAAGGTGAAATGCAGGCTACAGTAAATCCATGTGCCTGACATAATAGAAGCAGTAAGTACACACTACACTGTACAGAATACAGTATGAAATGCACAACAGAGTGTGTTTATGTGCCATAGTCAACGTTAGTGTTGGAATTTCTAACTTTGATACAACTGAAAAACATCAATATCCAATACCATTTTTGATGTCGCATTGAGGGCATACAATTTAAAAGTGTTACTAAAAGATAAATATAACAAGGCTATAACGTGACACTAAAGGCTTTTCTATTCTTGGTTAGTGGCAGGGAACAGCAGAAGGACTGTAGTAAACATTACACAATAACAGAGTGAGAAAACGCAGCTGGTACTAGTGTATTGATACTGCGGAAAACTTGTATTGAAACCATATTAAATATTCAGATTCAATATAAATCTATAAATCAGTGTTTTTGACATAAGTGGCACCATACTACTGTTAATATGAAGCCTATATAAAAGCTCTCCCTGCTGATTGTAACTGAAGTCTTAATTTCTATAGACAGAAAAAAGGCAACCTGTATGTGACATTAATGGCATGTTTGTTTACAGGGATTGCAGCAAAGTCCTAAAATGACTGCACTGTAACAAACATAACAGAAAGAAACTACCTGAAATTATCTAGATTGGGTTTTAGGTTTCCTTTTCCTTTTGTCTTGCATGCAGCACCAATAGTAACCACCTACCTAAAGTGAAACCAAACTGGTGCTCTGAAGAGACGGATACTAAGCTTTGTGTTAGGTTATGTTTTACACAATCTGACTGCTGCTACTACAGTGCCAGTTTGAGTACATTTTAAACAGTCTCTAAAAGCACAATTTTAGACTGCATCACCCTTTCAGGCAAAACACCATTTAAATTATTTTTCAGATCTTAACAGGTTTGGTTGGTGTTTAAGCACTTTCCCATTCAAACCAGTCTAACCAGTCAGTTAGCATAGTGTGCAGCTGTGCGCACACTTCACTTGTAATGTCTGGATTTGTAATGCACTTGCAGGGGCTCCTCCTGTTGCTAGGCTGAGGATCTTTTTAAAGAAATCTTCCACTGCAAAGAGCATGCGCCTTCCTGCCGAACACCTCATTGGTCAGCAAAGGGGGTGGAGTAGTGCATACCACAGACTCCATAGACTGTCCAAGAAAGGCTGCACTGAGCCTGAGCAGCCAAAGTTTGCTAAATTTGGTTGGCCCCATTAGAGTTTGTGCAAACTTTTTCAGTTGAAATGAGAGATGTGTTCGGTCTCGTTGAGTTTGTTTGGTTGTCACAGGCAGGGCTGACTTCTGTCAAGCACCTGACACTGAATTCATGTACACTTATTCATGGGAACCTTAATGAAGCAGCTCTCTAGTCTCATTGTAAGGGTAATTGTTTAGGTATGTAATATACAATCAATAAGATGCATGCCATCTTCAAAATAAAGTGGTGCATGACCTCAACCACTCCATTATGGTGAAATTGGGGCAATTAGGTTGCCTACATCTCTATCAAGAACTAAGCCTGATGTCTGAACTATGTTGTACGCCACATACCTTGGAATAAGCATGTCATTGATCATTTATTGGAGGCTCTGCATCTTATATACACGGTTTGTTCTTGAGGAAGAGGCTGAAAGAAGGCCTGTGTTTGTAAAGCAAGACACAGGTGTTAATACACAGCAAATATGCATACCTGTGTAATGAGGAAAGGGTTCCTATATGGCTTTTGAGAGTCTAAAAGCAGTTATTCTGTGCCTTAATAGACATGTAGACATATCAAATTTACATTAATATAGCCTACAATACAACTTACTATGACGAATTAGGGTCACTGTTTTTACAAAAATATAGCTGGTTTCTTTAAATTCGGTTGAGTTCACATCAGTAGGTCACACAGGTTACTTGTTTACAACAACTGTTGACGTAAACTTACGAACGTCGAGTTCTAGCTTGACTTTATTGGTTTACCGTGGCTAATTCTTCATAACAGGAAAAAACAACGTACAAATTGTTATGTTCACGCCATTAACTGTGTTCACAAAAACGTTTCAAATGTATAGCTGTGAGTTTGGGGTAAAGCAAGAAGAGTTTCGGCGGTTTTTGGGGCTCTGTAGGCTGCTGTAGAGCTAGCTCGACGGGGCTGGAGAGGAAGTGGAGTTTGGCTTACGTTGAGAGCAAAGTGGGCAGAGCCGTTGAAGGATATCAGCTCAGGCAGAGGCAGAGAGGAGGACACACACAACAGAGGAGCAAGGCGTCGACAGCAGAGGAGAGGAGGAAGGGCGGAACGATGCGGCCGAAAGACCCACCAAAACGACGAAAATCGGCCCAAAATGCGACACTGGCCCGGGTAGATGACGGCGGATAGACACGGCCCGTGAAAAGGGTAAGAACTTACAAGTTATCAGACGTTTGTAGCCGTTAAATTCGAATCAGGGGTGTATGGCAATATGGTGGCTAGAACGACAGTTAGACGCAGTGTTGTAAAAATGGCCATGGTGTGTTGTCAGCGAAGAATACTGAAAACGACATAGAGAGTGTAAACTGCATTTAAATGTGTTTTACTTGATGGAATTTGCATGTTTGCTAGCTCTGTGTCGAGTTAACTTTGTTAATATTTCGACAAGTACATTTGTTCTCGACCTGTTTGGAGTTATTTCAACCTACGCATTTAAAATTTGCTTTGTCCTTGAAAGGGCAAATGCCCTTGTCTGATTTTACTCGACAAAAACACCAAGTAAAAGCAAATGTTTAGTTTTTTAAATGCTGTATACACACTGATAGGCATCAATACAACAGGCTGGAGCATATTTTTGTTTCTTTTAAGTATATTCATTTTTGGAGGTTTTTCATCGAATTGTAAAGCACTAAAATATTTTAAAATTGATCATTTTTCCACATTATCTCAGCACAGAGTGTACTGATGTAGTTACATACAAGATTTAAGCAAGTGTTAAATGCTAAATACTTATTAATTAAAAATAGTTTAAATAAATTGTGACAAGTTGTCAAAATGTTCAAAATATGACTATTACCAACAATTCTTACTTTCTAGACATTATACTTAGACTCTACTTGATTTGTTTGCCAAATAAAGGTCCTGTATGTGATAAAAGCTTAGATATACTTCGAAATACAAAATAGGGTGTTGGCTTTTAACCCTTTCACGCACTGAATGGAGAAGTAATTTAAATATGTACATTAATTTTGTTTTTCCATCTTCATTACACCTGTAAGACATGTAAAGACACATTTTTATGTTAGAAACCCTCAAGACAGGTATTTGAATTTCAGGAAACTCAAAAATACTATTTTAGAATTAAATAAAGAAATAAATTCCTCCTAATATCACGGTCTCACGGACAGGGTTGTGTGGATTTATCCACACACGAAGGCAAATACTACACATATTAAAACAGATTACACACAGTCTTTTATAACAGTTATATCTTAAGATATATTGCAAAATACAGAAGATATTAGTACTACCCTGCACATAACAAAATGTCTTCTCAAAGCTATTCTTAGTAGGATGTTACAGTCGAAGACTACTTTAGTTGCATTTTGAGCCACCAAGACACATAAAGATTTAATATTTTCCTAACTAAAGAAGTTGCGACTTATTTATGTTTTTCCTAATATGTTAATGAACTCTTAAACATTCTCGCAAAATAATCTTTAAAACATCTTAAAACAAATTGCTGTTTAATTTCCGTTTTTTATGGCAATGTAAGTTGCGATTTTGTTAATGGTGATGATAATAATGACCACAATCATGTTTTGTATTTTGCAGGGTTCCCCCGATGTTTCACAAATTGCGTCAACGATGAAACGGGATCATCTGACCCAAGCAAAATGGTATGTTTTTTGTTTTTGTTTTTTTATTTGGTCCAGGCTTTTAAGTGTTTTCAGACTTCCAAGCTTCATTGTCTTTACTGCTTTATACACGTTAGCCAGTAGGGTGTGCTGTTGTCACATTTCCTCCCTTAACCTTTCCTTTTCTATTTTAAAGGGTTGACATTTAGCCACTATGGAGTCACAAAATGAAGGATTCGGGTGATTCGCAGAGCAACGTGGACTTGTAAGTATAATTTATTAAGGTAGACTTAATGTGTGCAGAAAATTCCTTGTATGTTATCTTCAAATCAAACTTTCAGTTCTTAACTGATCACTCAAACAACTGAATAAAAAGCGGTGAACAGTGTATTTTTTGCACTTCTATGTGTATGTCATTATTAGGAAATACTGCCCAACATTATGTTTTATGTAGTCAATGTGCATTTGGGCGGTCTCTTTTGATATACTGAAGGTAGGTCTGCCCCCTAGTGTATGATGTGGGAAGTATGTACATTTAAGTAAAACAGGGAAAATGATCAAACACCTGACTTTGGGATAGCTATTTCATAGTTAGCTTAAAATAATTGTTGAAGTTTGTAAATGCAGCTCATATAAACTGTACTTAAACTCTTAAGTGGTTTTGACATATTGTATGTATAGAGTTTGACAGTTAAAGACCCCCTTCACTCAATGTTTTTCTCATGTTCATGTCTCCTAAAATGTCTGACCATGACTATACTGAAATGTATCTGTGCAACTTTTGTAACTAGAGAGGTGTTTTCACATTCCTCTACTTCAAACATACAACAGGCAAGCTAGCCGTAGTACGCCACAAAGTTAAACGCCAGTTGCTGTCTAATGTTAAAATGCTAGCAAAGAAACTTGAAATGTCCAGTGCAGAGTAGACTTATTATACATAATACATAAATTTCAGCCTGACATAATACATCTTTCTGCAAACTTTGATTAAACTTCTGGTATATTATTACATACTGACAACGTGACTGTGAACACACTGTAACATAGTAGCAGATATCATTGTGTTACACAAACACTAACACTTTGTCAGCCACTACCAGTAACAAGCTCACAAACAACACAAACAAAATAAAAAATGCTAACCACACTGACCATTCTGATAAATCTGCTGGTCGCCAGTTCTGGTGCACAACAGACTCATCTGAGCCTTGGTCCAACTTAAGGTCAAAAATGTATTGCTACATCTCTCCGATGTTTTCTAAAGCTAGCCATGTTGATGTGCACTGCTCTTTCAGCAGTCAACCTAGCGCTAGTCTCCCATAGCCAGACCTATCTTCACACTTTGGTTTAGCACTGTGCAAGCACTTTCAAAAGCGAAAGCAAAACCTAGCGCAAGCAGTGAGTGGGCGGGGCAGGAGACCAGATCAAATTTCTCAACGAGCGAGAACAAGTAGATTTGTGTCAGCCTGCCACCCCCACCCATGTTTTTTTTTTTTACAGATTATGTGGGGCACAAAGAACTTCGGAAGAAGAACAAAATATTAATATGCTCATAGCAGAGTATCTTTTTGTAAGTAAAACGCATCTGGAGGGGAATTTAAAGCATACTGCTGAAACTTGGACGCACCAAGAAGTTGTCTTCAGTATCAGCTTCTTTTGGTGAATTTTTTTTGTGTGCGTCTTTTTAAGATTTAGTGCTCATAAAGCTAAACATTGAAACATTCCCGGATCTATTCTATTGTATTAAACATTAGGTTGTTTAAAAACAATGTATAGATTTATAATATGTTCGTGGTGGTCTTTCCACTAGCCAGCTAACCTTTGAAGCACTTAAAATCTTTATAATTATTCTTTTTGTAAAAACACGTTTCATGTAATTAAAACAACTGACAATCATATTGGACTCATAACTGATTTTTTAAAACACTCAAATTTTATAATTCTAACTGTGGCTCCAAAACAAGAAATGAGTTTGGTGGGTTTTGCGTTCTCAAAAGATGCATCTGACTCCAAACACGCTTCAGTTCCTGTGGTGTGAAGAAATTTGCCATGCAAACTTTAGGTACAGTCTCATTCATTGCTGCTTTTACCAATTTGCCACTTGAGAGCCTAGGGTGTTGCATCCCCTTTGATGAGTTTTATTTAAATTAAAGAGTTGTTCTGAGACTGCTAGTACAAGTCAGTTGGGGAGAATAATGCTTACCATGGCTTGTGCCGGCATGTCAGTCAATCATCACAAATTTTAATTATAGTTTTTGATAATGTGAACTGGTGGCATTTTGCAAGGGTAATCAGAAAATAACTTGGCTGATTTGGCTATCCAGTTGCACTATTGCACTAAAAATCTATTTTAATTATGACCTGTAGAGGATATCATGACAGCAGTCAAATCAATTTTATTCATATGCATTAAATGTAGATTTAATATTGGGTGCCATGGGGTGCATTTGATTGCGTTGTTCATTATGTCCTCATACCACTGCATTTGGTTTGACACTTGAAAAAAAATCTCAGACAACCCCAAAAGTTCAGTCAAATTAAAGTATATGTGTCTGCCTTTATTGAAAGCTGGAATGTTAATTGCTGACATAAGTTTGGCAGTGCAAAAATGAATTTACCCAATCTCAAAACACAAGAAATGCTTCACCTTGCGACATAACAACAACAAACTTTATACTTGTGATTAGACATATACCTATATGGAATCTCTGGAAACATAGCCGTAAACTTTAAATACCAAGGCCACTCGTTGTGATCAATATCTAATGCCGGTAATCTGACCATTTTGCACCTTCAGAGTATAAACACTTATTTACAGCTCAGAACGTCTGAAATTGTATGAAGATGGGTCATTGGATATTTTCCATGGCAAAAAAATGACTAAATATAATCTATATAGCAAGTCTAGAAAAGCATTTTTTGGGGGGCTGCCCTCCTTACATGTATTTTTTTTTTTTTTTTAAATTCTTTACTTCCTCTTTCTAAAGTGAAAGTGATAGCTGTAGAAACTGCCAGGAGTCATAACAACACTAAGCCAAAGAAATCCCCACCAAAATAACATAAGGCAAAACCATACTGTTAGCTACAGGAATAGTTTCAGTAGATGATATGAATTTGGTTTTTCAAGAAAGGATTTGCAGTAAGTTGAAAACTCGGCCAGAGCTGCATAAGTTTCCTTAGGGCACATAAATGCACCACTCAGCGCAAAAATTATCAACCCCACACAGATTGATGCATGTTTGGTTCATGTCTGCACCTGCCTTAGTTAAAAATGCAGAATGCTTCACAGACCATGTACTACAGGCAGGGCTATTTCTGTCACACAAAAAAAGGCACAGTGTCTGTACTTGGTAGTCAGTTAGTTGCAAAAACCCTTGAAAGACTAATGGATAAGTTGTAATTACTACTGTAATAAGACACATAAGGAGATGGTCAGATTCCAATAGTGAAGCATTGATATGTAAACCTGTTAGCTGTATTTGGCCTCCCATTCATTGCTAACCCCTACAAGATGTATTAACCAGCAAAAACAGGTGGCTGACAACAGGTTTTGTTAGTAACCGCAAAAGGGAAGTCATCTTAAGTCAGTTGTAATTAACATTAGAATTAGAAGACCCAAATGCCAGTCCCATTGAGTGCTCCACTTATCTATTATACCTGTTTGAAAGTGATGTATGGGTATCATATATGATTCTATCTTTTTCCACAGCAGAGACATGGACTGGTGTGAAGATTTCCAAACTTAGAAGCAAAAGAAGACAGCTCTGTAAGTTTTCCTTGTGTGACTTGAGTATTTATTCACATGCTTACTTAGCTCAGTAATATAATTAATATAATTTTGGCTTTCTATCCTGTTTTAATAGGTTGAGGACAGACTTATTTTAACACACCTTACCCTGCGTTTATTTGGAATATTTATTGCTACCATTCACTTTTTTAGTTCTAAAGGCTAGCAAAAGACCTAGATGTTAGCAGGTAGAGTTCACAACAAAGGGTAAGTTCGTAAATGTAACTTTATGGTAGCACATGCGTAATAATTTACATCATGTGACTACTTTTATTATTGATGATGATATAAGGTATTTTTACAGTGGCTGTATGTGGGCGCATTGGCTATGTTGCCTCCTATTGGTACTACTCAGAAAAGGCCACATTTCTCCAATATTTACTCTACTCTAGTTTTGCCAAAATCGATAGGTTTTGGGCCTTAAACTTGAAAACATGGCCGATACCATGTCACGGTTTTATTTTACTGCCGTATTTTAACATTTATGGAACTACGAGGGACTTCTTTTTCTGATTGTGAGCCATAGAGATGTGAAAATTGTTATTGTTTGAAGGGTTGCCTTAATAGTATTTGGATGCTATTATGTTGCCCATCTGTTGGTGAATCATGTACATGCTTTGATGACTTGGGTAAACATGTTGTCAATTCAGGCAATGGATCTTTAATTTGCTACAGCATTGTTTGCTCACATGCCAGTGTTTTGTTGTTTTGATCATTATTTGTCAGTGTTGTTGTGTAATTGTTAAGTTTCATGCAAAATGCATGTTGTGAATCAGGCTAGCTTAAGACTCATCTTACCCCTGGTGGTCAGTTGATGAATTATTTGCAAATTGTCACAGCATTTACTCAACTTGGACTTCAATTTTTGGGATTGCTTCGGATTCTCCAAACAATGTATAATTCACAGCCTTACAAAAATTTGACCTATCATACATCAGTATAGCTTGCTGAAGTTGTCACTTCACAAGTTCGTACAAAGAATTCCTATGTGCAAGATTCTGCCAATCTTTTTACTTGATTGCACATTCATATCCGTGATGCATTAAAAGTTGTGTTGAATGTCTTACTGGAATTTTAACGCATCGTTTGGCTCTAATGTATCAACAGCATTGATCCCAAAATGAACAAGTTATGACGCTCGATTACAAACATCCCCCAATCTATAGTTAGTGATCTATACATTATGTTGATATAACGACTTTTTATTACAATTTAGAAGAATAGCAGTGTTGTTTGAAAAATTGAACAACTGTGTACTTCCACAAACTAGCCTAATATTTCAGAATAACATGCACTTGCGTAATGCTAGCTAACGCAACTGAAGGCTAGCCAAGTATGTTCAGAAATTATCTAAATTTTAGTCTTGCCTAGCATGCCTTCTTTAACTGCTGGACAGTGAATCATTCCTTATTTCAGTTGCACTGTGGGCTTACAACTTTTCCTTCTTTTTTTAAGACGCCATTCAACCGGATATTGCTGAAGTGGAGACAGCGTTGTTTAACGTGAAGATGGCAAAGTGATTTGGCAGTTAGCCAAATTTTTGCAAGATGAAACCTTTTTCTGACTGGACTTTGGCGTTTGGATTTTTATTTTCTTTTTACGACAGCATGGACACTGGAACACCGTTGCTGGCTGCATAGTGGACTTGTTGAAAAATTACACTGTTGTTTTTGGGAAAACAAAAATCAGCCTTTGTACGTTTGATATTCAAATGTTGTTTTTAAATAAAGTGTATGTCATCGTATTTTTTTTCCTGGCTTTGTTTTATTAGGGAATTAACCTCAGAAACCACAAGAGGATATTTGGCGTAACATTTTGATAACGTTGGAGTCCATTAGCTCGGCTGTTGGGTTTTAATATTTAAGCTAATCCGCACTACAAATTAATTTGGTTAGCACTGACTTTCTGTCACTACTCATGAGGGTTTGCTAATTAATAAGCTAGCATAAGTGCTTACGATAAGCTTCGTACTGGGTTGATGAATCTCCTAAAGTGTAATAATCTCTTTTTCGAGGGTTATTCTACAAAGAAAATTATAATTTGATTGCTCAGATGAAAGGAAAAGGGGTTAAAAAATGAATCAGTCCCATTTGTAAATACTAACTTAATCAATTTAAATAATTGAAGAATACACTTCTATTTGTAAAGTACACTGCAAGTAGTTGAAAAGGGTTATGGTCTGAACAGAAATGGTTTCCAAAGGCTCCCTAAAATGGCCTCTGGTCGTCCCTCTTCCTGTCTGAGCAGGAAATGATGCAATTGGTGCATTAAAAAATTATATATACTTTTCAAAACCTCTCAGCATTCTTACCATTTTGTGAAGTGGGATGAAAAGATCTCAAATTCAAGCCTGAGAGTGAAAATTAATGTAAGTTCATATAAAAGTAAATTTTAAACATAACAAAAGGGGTGGGACTTAAACATCACCTGAGTGTGGGGTAAATGGAAATAACGTCAATCAAAGGCAAAGCTTTCAGAGCTAGGAAGGAGCTCTAGATGGCGGCTGAGCCTTGGGAAGGGTGCCATGGGCTTTCGTCAGACCGTTTCTCTCGCCCGTTTTTCGACCGAGACCGCTTGATTTTGAGCGAAATTAAAGTGCGGTGACCGTACGAGCGGTGTTTTAACGGAAATTTAGGCGTTTTGAGTGGTTTTTGGGCTGGTTTTTCGAGCCGCACGAGCCGTCTGTGCTGAGGGAGTGCTTGTCGTTGTTTTCCATACTGGGCTCTGGCAGCCATGGCGCGCCTCCATTTTTAGTGTGCTGCTCGCCTCTGTCGCTCTGAGTCTGACAGCAGATGAAGACTTTAGAGGCCTAAAAGCTTTCCGAAACAAAGCTCTTTTTTGTAATTTATTGTTAAGTTATTATTTTTACAGTTTGTTATTTTTATCCGAGTCGGATAAAACCCTGTGTTTAGAGCGAACGTGAATCTAATAGTTCATTTATAGGTTACCACCTTTTCTTCACATTGAATTGGTCTGTTTACATTGTGTGGTGTATAATATTTTACTTTTCTTGTCCTTAAATCTTATTTTTCTCACCCTTCATGTGATGACGCAGTTAGAATTAATTGCATGCGGCTTGATCCGTGGACTATATTGAAAGACACGTTGGATATTTAACGCATTTGCAACAGCACCTGTCATTTTTCCCAGCTTTATTTTAATTTAGCGATGTAAATAATGACACCCAAAGCTTTCGTTTTCATGCCTTTTTTCTCAACTCGTGTCGCACCGCCTGGGTTTTAACTGCCACCTGAGCAAAGGCAATCTTGTGGGACTTGTATGATAGTTCATGCTCCTCTAACTTTTTTGACAGTAAATACCAGGACAAAAGAGCATCCTTTTGAAAAGATTTTCAGGATACTACCATGATGAAGAATAAAAGTAAAAAGCAGGAGGATGAAGGATCGACTCAGAGCAATGCATCAAGGTATGCTCCTTATACTTGTTTTTACCTTTTTCATATCTGGTGTGATTGTTTACCCTGTCAAGCATGGTTGATCACCTGTGTATACATTTGCGACGTGGTTTTGATGAAGTGCACCACTGTCATGAATGACCTTGCTATTGTTTAATAGCCACACCCTGATTTTCCTACCATTTCTTTTCACTCAATACTGAGGTTTCAGGGCCTGTGTTAACAGATCATTGCCCACAAGATGTATGTGCTAGACCACAGCAAAACTAATTTGTCCTGTATTGTGTTGCTAATGATTTGTCACAAATGTTTGATGTCCTATCGCCATAATGTAATGACCTTGTCTAACTAGTTGGTACTGCATTGCACCATTTTATCAACGTTGTTGCTTGGTTTTTATTTATTTCAGAAACAATGTACTGCTTTAGCGTTACCCATGCTCAGTAGTATATCCAGCTTTTAATATGGGATATATATAACATAATTTGTCATTAGTTCATTGACCTTAAAGCAGTTTGAATGTGGCTTCAATTTGCATATTTATACCAATCTGTAATCTTTTATCTGGACCTGTACTTCAAGTTTTGACCAAGTTACTGAGTTTTAGGAAATCCAAGTTTGCCTGTGCTTACTTATTTCTGCTCATTCAAGCCATTCATCCCAAATATTTTAATGCCTTGTAAATAATTGTCTTGTTTAATGTAGATTGCAAAACTTAAAACTTCTTAACTCATGTGCATTATGAGGTTATGTCAGTCTTCAAATGCTTATGTAACACAGCCTTTTAACCCAGAACTTTATATTTGTTTTAAGGATAGGTTGAGTTCACTTTTGTTTTGGGGGCCCTATTGCAATTGACTGTTGCTAATTTAAATATTTCTGTTGACACATAATGGTTGTTTATCACTAGAATAACTGAATGATAACTTTCACTTTGCAAGCAAAATATTTTATCCATTGATGATCCCCTTTCACATAAATTTACTGTCATTTCTAAGTCTCAGATAACTTTAAAAGTCACTTTTTTGTAATAATATTGGCTAAATAAATATTGATGGTGTCACTCAAAGCACCTGTCTTGAACATGTGTAATGTTTGTGAATGTTACAGGGAAAAAAACAATGTTCTTTTCTACTTGAATCTGGCTTTTTTGTGTATTTCTTGTCAGGTAGAATATATTGAAAAGCCTGCAGCCAAGAGTCTTGACACTAAAATATATTTTTACAATATTGTCTGCTGTTCTTTTTTTTTTTTTTTTTTTATAAAGATGGTAAATAATTTCAAGTGTGTATCATCCTCAGGTATCTGAAGCCTCAGAAATATCAAAACGAGTGGAAACACTATTCTATTTTCATCAATAAAGATGCTTTTAAAAACTAACATCAGGTGCATTTGCATGGTGTCAGGACAATGCAGGAATTCAGGAACAGCACAAGTGGCTCACCATTATATTAAATAAATGTTTGTATTTACTGCTTAAATTCTGTGGCCCACCGTAAGTTCTTAGTGTTAGATTTGCTGCCTTGTTTTCACAACAGTTAATGCAGCTTGACCACATTAGACTGTTGTGTTTTTAGATAAAGACACAGAGAAGTTTGGATACTAAATACAGGTAATCACCCTCACAGCATTATACTGACTGTACACTGCAGTAGGTTACATCACACTTGTAGTTTTTCTGTGTGATCTTGTGGCAGCCATTTTAGTATTTTCAGCTGTGTGTGAAATAGTCCTCTGCTACTGATGACAGCCTAACTTTTTCCAACCTGATAGATGAGCACTGTGGGCACGCAGAGAAGCAGAAAGAGCAACAAAAAAATCTGGTGACTCAATACATTATATCTTTGCTAAGGTAATATATACATGCTCTCCTGAGTCACAAAATGGCCCTTGCTTTGTGTGCCCAGCTTGCTCACTTATCTGTATTAAAACTCAGCACAGAACTACATGGAGGAGGAACAGGAAGAGTTCAGACCTTGGGAAGCCTGCACACTGCGCTGCTATTGGCTAGACTTCCACCTAGTAACACAGTGACCAATGATAATTCGAGATTATGCTCAGGCCCCGCCCACTTTTGACCTCACTTAAAGCAGAAGGAGACATGTACTTCCGAGTTTGATCATTGAACAAGCTGAAATGTAGTAAACCAGTCCTAAAATTGACACTAAAAGCAGTTAGATAGTAATAATTTAGTTTTAACAAATCGATAAGTCTTCATCTTTATTATTGCCATAGTTTATAGAAATGTCTGAATACAAGTCATTTTTTACAGTTTATAACACAAATACTGCTTAAATCATTTGTTCCTAAAACATCCACCTAATAGATGAAATTACGATGAACCCTGTATACTTATTTAAATCTTTATAAGACACAAAACCATGTATTTTCAAAGCGGTCCATGTAAGGCAGTGAGTCCCATAAACTTTTCTCATTGAGTACAGCGCCCCCATGTGTCCAGACGCGGTACTGCATGTAGAGAAACCCAGACTGAAGAGGCCACTACACAAAGATAGATGTTTTATTCACTCATGACCCCCATCATTGTAATATACTGTCATCTCAAAATATTAGCTAAGGTCTGTTGTAGTTATTTTGTACCTAATTTTAACCAATTTAAATTTAACTGCATCTACATGTGCCCCTTACGATTTATCATTTTGTTTTCAAAGTGGTCACAAAACGTTTGGAGCTCCTTGTGTGCAGTGACAAGGACACCCAAGATGAATCTGAGGGTTCTGAGGTCAATTAATATTTTTTAAAGAAACATTTCTAATAGAAAGAATTGTGTTTTGAATACTATTAACTCTTCAGACCTCTAAATATCCTTCAAATGAAACAATCTGAGAAGAAAAAATGTTATTAAACTGCTTAAACTCATGTTAAACTAAAGCCATAACCTCTGATGAGGGGTCACAAGTACACACTGCTTTAATTTAAGCTAATTTAATCTAAGTCACAAGCTAAGAGAGTTAAGAACCAGTCTCTAATGCACTATAAGTATAAGATTCTTATTCCTCCACAAAAAGTATCAAGTTCAGTGAGGATATGAGTTGGGCTCATACTGTGTTTACTGATTTATTCATTTACTTTAAAGCTTTGTTCCACTTGGCTATATTACAGCTACATGTATATGTCACAAGTAATTGCAGGTTAGCAGAGAGGAACAATTTTAATACCAAGTACCCATTCAAAGAAGTGATGCCTTGTTAAATTACAGTTTAGCCCTTGTTATTTTAGGGGCGAAAGCGCTTCTTAGTCTTTTCAGAATGACTCTAAGAGGATTTGTGTGCTTTAGAGAGAATGAGGTTATTATAAGACTGTTAGCTGAGTAAGGAACACGCTGCATGATGTAATTAGGTTTCTGTTTCCTCTCGGCTGACAGTCACTCATGCCATCAAGCTCTTGCAGTTTCCTCGTGTCCTAGTGAGAGTGTGTATACTTTGAGTTTGAATTTTAAGACATTTTTAAGTTGCAGCCACAACTCTACTCACATTTTGTGCCTTGTTGTTGTTGTTGTTGTTGGGTGTACAGAATTATGTTAACAATAGCTCAGCATTTGGGCTGCGAAATCGAAAGAATGAACATGTTTTTGTTCCTGTAGCAATTCAGCCTCAGAGGAATCCAACCGCTCTGCGTCGGAGTCGGGAAGTCAGTCAGAGAGCGAGCATGGCAGTGAGAGGAGGAGATCCCACAACTCTGAATCCAACAGCTCCTCAGAGTCAGAGAGTCACTCAGAGTCAGAGAGCGAGTCTGCCGAGTCCAAATCACAGCAAACCGCAGCAGAAGTGAAAGACAAGCCAGTTAGAAAGAAGGAGCGTCTGGCGGATGTGAAGAAGGTAAAGGTGACTGAACTTTTGAGAGGTATCAAAATCTTCTGTGGTGACATACTGTTTGTTAAGCAGATTAACGTTCCAGTCCTCTTGTAATGGAGACTGAGTTAACTTTGTTAGTGTAATTAGGATCTTAATGTGATCATGAAAGTTTGGCATGCAGCCTTAGCTGTGTCACGCTTCCATACTACATCCTTATTCTAAGCAGGTTTTGAGTACGTACGTGTGTGAACAATGTAAAAACACCAAAAAAAAGTATACTCAAAATAATATAAAAAGTCTAAAATAAAAATGGCAAGACATGAGAAATAGGATTTTATGAATTGTTTTTCAAATTTCAAAATAATTGGTAACATCTATTGGAAACAAAATTATCAAATGCCTCTTGCATTAACATTCATCAGATCAGGTTAGTGGAACCATCAACATGTATATTTCATTTCCAGCTGGGATGCTCAGAGCAGAGGATGCACTGTACCCTGGATGACACAGGGTTTTGTAAATTTAAAGAGAATTGGCCATTGAACCAGGATTTTGTGGCAGGGCTGAAAACAGTGTAAAAATACAAAAACAGGTCCACACACCAGAAACTACTCCTTTTGGAAAATTAATTGCATCACCAAATGTGACGTTTCGGGCACCAGCTGGTGCCTGGTGTGTATGGACTTATTTTTGTATTTGTTCTTCTGTCCAATACCCAATATTAATTGTTTTTGGATGTGCGTGCTGTTTTTTTTGAGTCTTCATTTTGAAAACAGTGCCTCTGTGTATCTTAGGCAAAAAGGTTATCAAACAGTGCGTGATGGGAATCAAGCTGCAGTAAGAAACACAAAATCACCCCCAAAAACTTTCCAACGAAAGGCAGGTTCCTAGTTATTTATATGCATTTCCTGGTTATGTTCTACTCTTGTTTCAGCCACAGGATAAAAAAAGTCATGTTTTATATTACAATAAACATTTTGGCCAAATGGTCCTTAACCCTACACTACTGATGTTGGTTCATGGATTTGTTTTCTTCCATTAGTTATGTAAAAGTGGTCTTAAATTTAATTTCGATTGGCATTAAAAAAGTCTTAAATCTAACTTGCCTTTAGTTGTAGGAACCTCGGGCATTGTATCTTAACAAAAATACATGCTTTGGCCCAACAAAATTGCAGTTTTGATTGACCTCATCAACACATATTCCATAACTACAAACTGTAAAGAATGTTAATTTGATAATACTTGAAGCAAAAACAGTATAGAAGGACAGCTGATACACAGAAAAAAATAAATTAGCAACTATTTTGACAATCGATTACTAATCCGATTGTCCTTTTTCAAGCAAAAATGCCCAAAATCCCTAATTACAGCCGCTAAACATGCAGCTTTTCTCCATTTTATACATTTCTAAACTGAATATTTGGGGGGTTTGGACTATTGATTAGACGAAGTGACATTTGAAAAAGCCACCCTGGACTCTTGGAAACTGATTTGGACATTTGTCACCATTAGCTAGTATTTTATAGACTACAATTAATCGTTCAATTGAGACAATAATCTGATATTGAAAATAATAATAATTCGCAGCCTGATAGTACCTACTTAGGAACTAGAATGCAGTATGGAATTGGGAGATGTCATGTTTTCATAGCGATGCAGAAAGTAAGCAGCTCTCTTATAGCAGTTTCTCTCTGTTTACAGATGTGGGACGAACATCCAGATGTGTATGGAGTCAGGAGGTCGAATCGCAGCAGACAGGAGCCGGCCCGTTTAAACATCGGAGCTGGGGTGAGCACATGAGAACAAAAGATTGATATGGACAATGGAACAAAGACAAAAGATACTGATATGCAGCGTGGCCTGCCTCTGCACTGTTATTTCTATTGGCATCATCAATCCACTTGTGCCACCTAGTGGCTGTTATGAGGAAGTGCAGTTACATCACATGGAAACAAAGCCCTTACTGACATGAGCATCGTTGTGTTCACAGGGCAGCAGCGACTCTGAGAGTGAGAGTCCCAAGAGAAAAACACCCCGAGCTAAGAAAAAAGAGTAAGTGTGAAAACTGTGAACATTTTTGGTGATTTGTATTATTGTTGTTTTATTATTTTTTTAATTTATTTGATAGCACAGCGCCATATTCTTTCAGTTCTGCCTTGTTGAGACACGTTTATTGAACTCTATAACACCTGATCCATACAGTAGTTCGGCACAGTCCATGTGTGTTTTTGTCATCGTGTTGTCAGCCTGTGTCCATATTGTGATTCTTATCATTTTACGCTTGTTTGTGAATGGGTATCTGTTTGTTCCAAATGGGCTCCGTTAGTTTCAGTCAGCCAGGTGATTTTCTGCAATCAGATTTGATTGGTCAGATCAGCGGCTTACCCCTGATCAAATCGGTGTGTGGTGAAACGCCCTATGGCCAGTCTTTATGAAATTTAAAATCTGGATATATAGCCGTGATGGGCCTTGAGGGTGAACTTGTGGCATTTCTTTGTTGTAAGAAATATCTGGAAAGATGATGACTCAAATGATGATGAAGAGGAGGAGGAGGAGGAGGAGGAGGAGGCTTCCGACAGTGCAGACAGTGAGCAGGAAGAGAAAAAAGTTAGATCCAGACGACTTCCTGCTAGAAGGTAAGAGTGTAGCGAAGCCTGGCCATCAGACAGCTACCCACTGGTCATCTCCAAATCATTCCATAATGTGTGAGCACTTTTTCCCCTTTGATTTGGTGTGACGTTAAAAGCAGCCTGATTCACTCTAAAATACAACATCTGAAATTTGGTGTAATCATAAAACATGATACAAATATTTGTGGCTACACTAGCTGTAGCCTGCAGTTTGTCAATCAACCAAAAGATACCAGAATCACTGACAACGATCCAGGTGTTTGGTTCCTTTATCTCTAAGTGCTTTGTGTGTGTGTCTGTGCTTAACTGTGTGTGTTACAGACCTCAGACCAAATCATCAACAGCCAAAAAGCAGCTATCTCAAAAAGCCAGGAAGTCCAGGAAACAGGACTCGTCTGGCGAAGAAGACGACGATGATGACGACGACGACGACGATGATGACGATGATGAGGAAGACACTCCCAAGAGGCAGACTCGGAGACGGGGTGCGACTAAAGTCAAAAGGTGCCTCCCCAGTTAGATTTTAAGACTGTTTCCATGACGACAGGTATTAACAGGTTGATTTAAGTGCTGTCACAGTTTTCATAGTGATCGTCACCTGTAGCCACGTGATGCTTAAACCCTCTGCTCTGTTGTGTCGCAGTTACAAAGAGGACCAACATGACTTCGAAACAGACTCTGATGACCTGATTGAGATGACAGGGGATGTAGGCGAGGAGCAGCAGGATGACGACAGTGAGACCATCGAGAAGGTCATGGACACCAGGACAGGCAAAAAAGGAGGTGATGCATTTGCACTTGACACACAGAAGTTGAGCGTGACCCCTGCGACAACCACATTTCTCATCAAAATTAGTTTCTCCACGTGTACACAATCTAGAAGTTATTTATCTTTGCTCTTCCAGTTACCGGGGCTTCCACTACTGTGTATGCTGTGGAGGAAAATGGGGACCCTGGTGAGGGCTTCGACCCCGAGAACGATGAAGGGGAGACTCACTATCTGATCAAGTGGAAGGGCTGGTCCTACATCCACAACACGTGGGAGAGCATGGACTCTCTGACGCAGCAAAAAGTCAAGGGACTGAAGAAACTGGACAACTACAAGAAGAAACAAGATGAGCTCAATTCATGGTGAAAATCTTTGTCCTTACTTGTACAGCTCATTTTTAAATCGACATCTTTTTAGAGAAGTCTCACTGTTATTCTGTCCTTGTTCGCAGGTTGAGGAGGGCATCTCCTGAGGATGTAGAGTTTCATAACTGCCAACAGGAGCTGGTAGCTGACTTGAACAAGCAGTTTCAGATCGTGGAGCGAATCATCTGTAAGAATTTATTATCAAATGCATTCGATTTTGGTTGTTAGATTTTTTGTTGCACTTAAGTTGTACTAAAAAGGACTTTTATTATCAACAGCAATAAAAACAGGAAAGACACAAGGATCCTCTGACTTCCCCTGTAAGTCCCTTATTTAACGTTTCACCATCACATTCTGTTGCCTTCTTTTTTTATCCTCTCCTGTTACGTACATTTTTGTGACTTCTTGTCACAATCCTTAATTTGTCTGCCTTTTAAACAGCTCATAGTCATAAGACGCCATCCTCAAATGAGCCCGAGTATCTATGCAAGTGGATGGGCTTACCCTATTCAGAGTGCAGCTGGGAAGACGGAGCTTTGGTGAGCAAGAAGTTTCAGCACTGCATCGACAGCTTCACGAACCGAAACTCCAGCAAAACCGTCCCCTCCAAAGACTGCAAGGTGAGAGTCAAAACTGAATGACACCCAATCGTCTTGTCTCCATGTTTTATTGTTATTTTTATTTCTCCGTGCCGGCAATAGCGTTGACAGGAGGCATTATGGTACATGGACTGCACTTATGTAGCTCCTTTCTAGTCATCCGACTGCTCAAAGCGCTTTTTACACCCATTCACACATGGTGCCACCTGCTACACAGTTTTTAACACAGCCATGAAGACAAATTTGGGGGTCAGCTCAAGGATACTTCGATATGCAGACTGGAGAGGACGGGGATCGAACCGATTAGTGGATGACCCGCTCTGCCTCCTGAGCCACAGCCACCCATGTTTATGGGTCATCAGTCCTTCCTATACTGTGAACGTGTTATCTCAAGAATGCCTTCAGGGAATTTCTTCAAATTTGGCACAAATGTCCGCATGGACTCAAGGATGAACTGATTGGCTTTTGGTGGTCATAGGTGAAAGGTGAAGGTCACTGTGACCGTGTTTGTCTCATTCTTGTAAATGTGATGAACTGATTCGATTTTTGTGATCAGAGGTCAAGGTCACTATGACCTTGCATCCATCTCATTCTCGTGAACACAATATCTCAAGAGGGCCTTGAAGGAGTTTCCTCAAACGTGGCCCAAATGTCTGTCTGGACTCAAGAATTAACTGATTAGATTTTAATGGTCAAAGGTAAAGATCACTGTGACCTCACAAAACATGTTTTTAGCCATAATCCGTGAATTCATATGCTACTATGACAACATTTCACCAATATCTTATAGGATAGATGATGAAATGATGACATTTTGTATCTAAAAGTCAAAGGTCAGCTTCACTGTGGCATCATCAGTGTTATGCATAAACACTTTTCTGGCCAGTAATTAACACCATGACTTGGATCAGGAGGGGAGACATTTGGACAGATGAAGAGGTGACACAAATCTGTGATGATTGTGTAGATCTGTGCTGAGGTGTTGAAGATGTGTGAAGCATCCATTTTTCGCCAGAAAATGTAGTCAACACTTTTTATTACATTACTTCACTTATATGAGTCTGGAGAGACATGGATGCAACTGAGCTGCAAGTGACTGGTTGGCGGAGGCGTACAACTGCCTGACAGTAATTCTATTTCACCTCATAATCAGATAAATTTGTTTGTATCATTTCAGGTGTTAAAGCAGAGACCAAGGTTTGTTGCACTGAAGAAGCAGCCGTCATATATCGGAGATGAAAACCTTCAGTTGAGAGATTATCAGCTGGATGGGTTGAACTGGTTGGCTCACTCCTGGTGCAGGTACGCTGTAAATAAATATAATAAATTGTGTTGGTGTTGACGATCTCATTTGAAAAATAACATTAAAATGGTTCGTTTTCTTGTTCTTCGTGCTCAGGTGCAATAGCGTCATCCTTGCTGATGAGATGGGGCTCGGAAAGACTATCCAGACCATCTCCTTCCTGTCGTACCTCTTTCACCAGCATCAGCTGTACGGACCTTTCTTAGTAGTGGTGCCTCTGTCCACGCTCACCTCCTGGCAGAGGGAGTTTGACACCTGGGCCCCAGACATGAACGTGGTGGTCTACCTCGGTGACGTCATGAGCAGGAAAACAGTGCGTTAAAACCTCCAGTTGTTACGTTGTTGCTATAGAGAGAATTTGAAGAGTGGGATTAATGAAGACTATTTTCTCTTTCTGTTTTGTGTAGATCCGTGACTATGAGTGGGTGAACCATTCAACGAAAAGAATCCGTTTCAATGCACTATTAACCACTTATGAAATTCTACTTAAAGACAAGGTAAAGATCAGAATTTCTTTGTGTTTATATTTTTATTTATGCAGTCTGTCTGTGCATGAAGAGTGTTGGTCACTTTGGTTTACAAGGACACATTTGTCTCCAGGGGGTGCTTGGGAACATAAACTGGGCGTTTCTGGGTGTGGATGAAGCTCACAGGCTGAAGAATGACGACTCCCTGCTGTACAAAACATTGATGGAGTTCAGGTCCAACCACAGGCTCCTCATTACTGGCACTCCGCTGCAGAACTCCCTCAAAGAGCTCTGGTCGCTGCTGCACTTCCTCATGCCAGACAAGTACGTCCCAGTTTAGACGTTTAATGTGATACTGAAGAAGAGCAGGGCGAGATGAGTGACGTGTGCTATCTGTGTCTGCCACTGCAGGTTTGATTCCTGGGAGGATTTTGAGGATGAGCACGGGAAAGGAAGGGATAACGGTTATCAGAGTCTTCACAAAGTCCTCGAGCCCTTCCTCCTGCGACGTGTCAAGAAAGATGTGGAGAAATCTCTCCCTGCCAAGGTGGAACAGATCCTCCGTGTAGACATGACTGCACAGCAGAAACAATTCTACAAGTATGATTCTTACTTGTCTTTTGCAACCTTTTTACTACATCTGCAATCCCAAACCACTTGCGCAGTAAGCACATTTCTCCTCCCCATTAACTTAATTTGTTCCTCAATATTTCCAGGTGGATTTTAACGAGGAATTACAAAGCTCTTTCCAAAGGCACCCGAGGCAGCTCCTCCGGCTTCCTGAACATCGTTATGGAGCTCAAAAAGTGCTGCAACCACAGTTTCCTCATTAAACAGCCTGAGGACGTGGAGACTGAAACACAACAGGAACACCTGCAGGTTTGTCTCTTTCTGAATCCTCTATAGCTCCCAGCAACACCTCAGGATATCTCTGCTCTGCAAAGGGAGCGAGTTGTGACATAACAGAGATGAAAAGACGACAGTCCCAGCAGGAGGGTCGGTGCTACTTAATTTACTTAATAACCCCTTTGCCTTTTCAGAATCTAGTGAGGGGCAGCGGGAAGCTGGTGCTGCTGGACAAGCTGCTGACCCGACTCAGGGAAAGAGGCAATCGAGTCCTGATCTTCTCCCAGATGGTCAGGATGTTGGATATTCTGGCTGAATACCTCGCCAAGAATCGCTACCCTTTCCAGGTACGATTTGCACATTCTCAGGCCTGCATTCTTCATTTCTAATGCTGGACAGGCTGATGATGGCTTTGTAGCTAAAACGTGTCCATGTCTGTTTAATCCACTTAATACTACACAGGACCTAAGTTCATATACTGTGTGTCAGAACAACATGCAGGTCCACTTTATGGCACTGTAGTCAGTCTGAGCAATGCTGTAATTGGCATCAACATAGCAATATAATATTTTCACCCTGTCAGTGTTAATGATAATTATAATAGGTCCTTCCTAAGTCTTGACCAGTGATGCGGGTAATACAGACATTTACAAGTCACGTAAGGCGTTACCATCCAAATTAAACTGTTGTTTTAATTTTTCGTTCATTCACACTGATCTACACTGCTACACTTCCTCCAGCGCGCCACCGGAAAAATTAACCTGAGGGTTATTGTGTCTTGTAATGTCATTATAGACAACATTATAGAAGGGTACCCGTGATGGGCACATTTGGGTGATGCCTTACTGTGTTTTATCATGTTCAGTGTGTTTCCATCATGCAACGTCTCCAACATATCCTGCTCTACTTTTGCGTACTAAGACTGCTAGAAAGTAGCAGGGATAAAGAGCTGGCCTCTGGTTTGTTTTTTCGGCACGTCTAGCCTGGGTAATGTTAGTGTATGTTGGATGTGTTTCCATTCACATCCCCGACAACTGCAGAACAACACCGTCCCATTTGTGCACACCGGGAACCGCCAGGTAATTCTTCCAGCTCCGTACTATTAATTTGCGCTCATCACACTGACTGACTCGCACACCATTCTGTTTGTTGTGCTAATCTCAACGTTAGTTTACTGTGTTTCATATCATAGGACCACAATTATCTATCCATATCTCATATTTATTAGACTTTGATCTTCAGCCTGACCCTCCGTGCGTCCTAGGCTATTCATTTATTTTAAAACATCTAGGCTCATCACAAAATTATTAATAAAAGCAGGGGATTTTAATACAAAGTGGTACCTACTGTATGTGGCTGCATGAATGGTCAGACCTGTGCAGCTCTGGATTTTAAATGAACTATAATAAACTGCAGCTTCTATGTTTTGATTACCTGCGGTGAAACAACATGACCCTCATCCATTTAAAATGCCTTGTTGTTCTTCTGAGGTCATTTTAGTGAAAGCAATGTAACATTTATGTAATAAGTAACTCATTACTCCACACAGACAGTAATACTGTAAAATAAATAATAGTGATAAAATTACATTTTGAGAGTAACTTGCCCAACACTGGTCCTGACCCTTTTTGCTCTGTGCTCCAGTAACAGTTGAGCAGGCTTGCTATGTGCTCGGCTCATCTATGTTGAAAAGAACCAAATTTTGAAGATGGTTTAAAGATGCAGCCGTGGACTGTCACAATGCTCATGGACACATTACACTGTATATACAGTAGTCACATCTTTAGTAAGCTAATGTTAGAAACACGCTAGCTAACTAGCGAGCTAAGGTATAGCTACATCAAAAGATTTAACCTTAAATCAGATCACCAGCGTCAGCCAGGTTTGGTTCCCCCTTATTTCTTTGGTAACATCAAAGAGACGTGGAAAGGGGCAGATAGGGTGGTTGCTAATGTATTGCTTTGTTTATATTATCTCTGCAAGACAATGTGCTGCCTGTAAGGAACTTTCCATAGCACAGAGGGACTAATGATAGGTCTACACCATGGACTGTAGTCAGTAATGAATACATAGAGTACTTTACTGATCCCCACAAGGGGAAAAGGGGACACATACCCGGCACCGCAGGAGAGATGTTGACTGATAATCCTTTCATCCTTGGTATCTAATGTTACGGCTCCCTTTTTTGTGGATAGGGGATTAGTTAATAACAGTTAACATTGCGGGTATATCCTTCATCGCATACTGTAGTCCTTGCTGTTATTGCCTGATGCCCAAAAACTACCTAATAAACACTGCAGCACCCGACAAAACTGAACCAGCGTGGCCATGCTCTTTTCAAGCTTGTCCGACCTAGCAACAGTAACCAAGGGTGACAGGATTTATAAAGGGTCAGTTCCAAAAAAAAAAAAGTTTAACCAGCTGCATCACCAGTATCTCCAGAAACCAACTGTTGTCTTCACTGGTGTTTACAGCGCAGGGGGCTGTAAGGGAGGTTGTGTTCGGTGGGTTAAACTCGGGTGAGGATCGGATGTCAGTGTTGTCGCGCACACACACTCTGCCCATCTGGGAGATCATGTGGTTATTTATACCAACAAGTTATTTCCAGTTGAACTTGTGCAAGTCACTCGACTCAGGATGTTTTTGCTGACTTGATCTTCGCTGTAGACTGTTGTGGTCAGTCTCATTATATAGGCTGGTTACGATGGCATGTAAAGCGAAGGGATGCCAAGGTTAATGCACATAGCTGCCTGCTCGGGGAAATCTTCCAAGGTTAATTCCCTCTGTTTGCCTCTCTCCTCCTCAGCGGCTGGACGGATCCATAAAGGGAGAAATCCGAAAGCAAGCACTTGACCACTTTAATGCAGAAGGCTCAGAGGTATGTCTCATAATAATTTAATGTCTCTGTGTGAGCTTTAGGAAGAAAATAATACATTTATTCTCAAATGTCCACCAAAGCAGTCTTATATTTTTGGGATGATGACTGATTTAAACAAACATAGGGTACTTTTTTTTTTTTTTGGGAGACCTTGAAGGAAAGGATATATTGAAGAAATCATGTAGAAATGATCAAATATACTTCAATACTTGAAAGAAAGTCTGCAGATGACAGCTGTATTAACAGTTTCATATGTTTCCCAGGACTTCTGCTTCCTGTTATCCACCCGAGCTGGAGGTTTAGGGATAAATTTGGCCTCAGCAGACACCGTAGTCATCTTCGACTCTGACTGGAATCCTCAAAATGACCTGCAGGCACAAGCCAGAGCTCACAGGATCGGCCAGAAGAAACAGGTAATTCTTGGCTCAGATTGATTTGATTTCACTGTAGATATGCCACAGTACCCGTAAGATTATTTTGCAGTAAATAATAAAATTACGACTCTGCTTTCCTTTTGTAGGTGAATATTTATCGGCTTGTTACCAAAGGGACGGTTGAGGAGGACATCATTGAGAGGGCAAAGAAGAAGATGGTTTTGGACCATCTTGTCATTCAGAGAATGGACACCACCGGTCGTACCGTGCTGGACAGCAACTCGGGAACCACAAAGTAAGATGTCTGAAGTCATCTTGTTTATATACTCAGATGCTGAAGCTCTCTGTGTGTTTAACATTCTTTTTTTTTTTTTACAGTTCAAACCCCTTCAATAAAGAAGAACTGACTGCAATCCTCAAGTTTGGAGCAGAGGAGCTTTTTAAAGAGGCAGAAGGAGAGGAGTCTGAACCACAGGTACTAAAACGACTAATTATTTTTGTGCTTCATATATAAATGTGCTTTTATAACTGTAAAATTAAGCCAGAGCTTCTTTGTGTCTGCAGGAGATGGATATTGATGAGATCCTGCGGTTGGCTGAGACAAGAGAAAGCGACCAGGGCTCAAGTGCTACAGATGAACTTCTCTCTCAGTTCAAGGTGACTACAAGTTGTAACTGTTTTGCACTGTTACATTATGGTAAAGTATCTCAAGATTCCTCTCTTCAACATCTTATTCTCCTTTGTTTCTCCTCTCTGTGTCGCTGCAGGTGGCCAATTTCTCCAGCATGGAGGAGAGCACTCAAGATTTTGAGGACAAGCCCCGGCGGGAATGGGATGATATCATCCCTGAAGATCAGCGGCGCAAAGTTGAGGAGGAGGAGAAGCAGCGGGAGATGGAGGACATCTTCATGCTGCCCAGAAGCAGGAGCTCGAACAAGAGGGTAAGAGTAAGTTTGCAGATTTATTTGGGAAAAGATTTTTTGTACATTAAACTGAAATGCTAACTATCATCCAGCAGCTTAATTGAGTTGTGTCTGAACGTGTTGCTCTGGTTCCTCTGTGTTTCAGGCTCAGGCTAATGATAGTGACAGTGATGTGGGCTCCAAGCTGAAGCACCGCTCCTCAGGCTCTGACAGTGAGACTGATGATAGTGATGACGAGAAGAAGCCAAAGAAGAGAGGCCGACCCAGAGCCCGCAAAAACAACGTGGAGGGTTTCACTGATGCAGAGATCCGCAGGTGAAGTATTTATTGAGCATTTTTATTATTTGTTGTTACATTCACGTTTTCTTTCATGAACACAATTAAAATGTATTAAAATATCATGAACAGGTTCATCAAGGCATACAAGAAATTTGGATCTCCACTAGAGAGGTGAGCATCTTTAAATGATATTAATAATGAATGTGAGGCTTCATCATTTCACAGCATAGTTTGTCAGACAATTTATTTGCTCATACTTAAACAGTCAAGTGCTCCTTTTTGAATCCAGGTTGGAGGCCATCGCCCGAGACTCGGAGCTGGTCGACAAATCCATAGCAGACCTGAAAAGACTTGGTGAACTGATTCACACAAGTTGTGTGGCTGCAGTGCAGGAGCATGAGGAACACCTTAAAGAGAACCCAGTTGAAGGTATGTTGAGTTTACTTGTTAATAGGTCTTTGATATTACAGCATTTTTTAGCCCCAAACCTTATGTGTGTCATTATTACTCCAGCCAAAGGTCCTGGGAAACGGCGAGGAATTAACATCAAGATCTCGGGAGTGCAGGTCAACGCCAAGTCCATCATCCAGCACGAGGAGGAGTTTGAGCCCCTGCACAAAGCAGTGCCTGTCGATCCTGCTGAGAGAAATAAGTAAGAGATCACTGCAGATACAAGGAGCAGCACAGGCTTTACATTACAGGATAAGGATAAGATGTTGTGAAAGGTGCGTCTGTTGACACGTCTCTGTTTTCCACAGGTTCAAGCTGACATGCAGAGTCAAGGTAGCTCATTTTGATGTAGAGTGGGATCTGCAGGATGACATTCAGCTGTTGCTTGGCACCTATGAGCACGGCTTTGGAAACTGGGATCTGATCAAGACGGACCCTGACCTTAAACTCGCTGATAAGGTAAATCTGATTTCTACTTTCATCACTAAGTTGATGGGAGGGAAATGAAAATCTATCTTTGAAAAATACTGTTTTAAAAGTCAAGATCTGGTCAGGAAGTTGAGATTGCAGAAACATTTCTCCGTTTAACCTCATTAGCACTTACCCTATAATCAGCAGCAGCTCTTTTAATCATGTCTAACATTTACTCCCCTCTGCACAGATTCTCCCAGATGATCCGAGCAAGAAGCCTCAGGCCAAGCAGTTGCAGGCGAGAGCAGAGTATCTTCTCAAGCTGCTGAAAAAAGAGCAAGACAATGCAGACCTGTCTAAAACAGGGGAGGAGGTACGTTGCCATTAATCACAGAGTAGCTCATCCGTACTGTTTTTCGCCACGTGAAGTTTGCATTTGACCTACCACCCCCACAACTCATCCATTCTCCTCTACTCCAAAGGTCAAAGTGAGGAAGAGGAAGCCTCGGGTGAAAAAGGAGAACAAGATTCTCAAGGACGAGCAGGGCAATGACATCTCCTCCCCCCGCCTGTCCGACAACCCGTCAGAGGAGGGCGAGGTCAAGGTCAGTGTCAACCACGAGTCCATAGGGTGTGGGCTGAGTTATGCTTCTTTGCCGAGGGTGTGTACTGCCTACATTACACAAATCTCTTTCCATGATGTTGTGGTGGCAACATTTCAATCCAGCCAATCCCAATGCATTCTGCACGACCTTGCAGTTTTGTTTAAACGCCGCAACTTTGCTGCAAATTGACTTTTTAAAACAGGTTAAATCTCATTTCATTGAACTGCACACAGTGTATTGATTCACTCAGCCCCTCCTTGCCCCACTGTCTCTCTGTTTATTATGAGACTATTGCTGCACGAGTGTGTGCTCTGCGCCTGGGACAGAGTCACACGCATACAGCGTCAGGGCTAACTGTTAGCATCACGTGGCTAACGTTACCCAAAGGTTATTAACGGGTTTGACAAAAGAGTCGAGCTGCTTCGGTGTCGGTGTGAGATTGTTGGGACTGTTTAACGCCACGGTGCTGGATGTCAGCCGCTGCTGCTGTGTTAGCTTGTGCTAACCGGGCAGAGAGAGCAAGAGGAGAGCGGTTCAGTGTCAGCGACAGTAATGATCCTTCTGCAGGCTCACCATGGAAACCTTGTCATGACTTTTACTTCGCCTTGCACCCATAACAAATAGATGATAATTCTGTGGGAAACACTGAATGCTCAGACAGCATTGCAGTTATTTTTCCACTTTTATTGCAGAAAATGTCAGTAATTATTGCAACATGCATCGCAATTTTTAGAAAAGCTGCTGTGAAATCAGACATTTCAGGCCGCAGCAATCCCAAATACGTCTCGCCAAATCCTGGAGAGACTGATCTATGTGCAGGGTGTTGTTGCAGCTGATGTGCTTCTTCTAAAAGTTACTACAGTTCGTAGCTGCGCTTTGTACACGTTCTCCCATCTTTAGAAGTGCAGAGTTTGTTGACAGTAATAGCAAATAATTTTCTTCTCTTCACTAAGAAGTAGAACATTTTTTATTTTTAGATAAGTAGAGTTATGGTAAATTAGTTAAGGTAAATCCAGCTGAATTCTTGTCCTTTCTCTCTTTTATGACCTTTTGTTATATTGTTTAACGTGTTGTATTGTCTTGTGTTTGAGCAGGATGATGGAGCAGAGAAGTCCCCCGCCAAGAAAAGACAAAAGAAAAAGGATAACAAAGAGAACAAAGAGAAACAGGGAACTCCTAAAAAAGAGAAGGACGGGGACAAAGAGAAAAAGGGTACCAAGCCCAGAAAAGAAAAGGTATTTCAGCAGACTGTTCATGACCCTATCATGTGTGCTTTGCTCACACTGTTTCAGATTTACATGGACATAAAGTTAATGGAAAACTGAATTACATTGTAGTGTTAATATGCAACAGGCAGTCCTGTGATGAATCTATTGAAGGTATGAATATCTGATGTTTTTGCACTCCAGGCTAAAGGAGCCAAAGGGAAGAAGACTCAGGGTCCAGTTCACATCACGGCTGGGTCTGACCCCATTCCCATCGAAGGAAAGGAGGATGATGAACTCGACCAGGAGACTTTCAGTATTGTGAGTTTCTCCTTTACTTGTTGTGCAAAGATTAACCCAGTAGAGTTATTTCTGAGCAGTGCATTACAATCATATCGGCAATCTGTGCCCGTGTCTAGTGTAAGGAACGCATGAGGCCAGTGAAAAAGGCTCTGAAGCAGCTGGATAAACCAGACGAGGGTCTGTCCGACCAGGAGCAGCTCCAGCACACTCGCACATGCCTACTGAAGATTGGAGACCGAATCACAGAGTGCCTTAAAGCCTACAGTGACCCCGAACATGTTAAAATATGGCGGAGGTAAGATGATTATATATATTATCTTTGTGAAATGAGTCATGATGCTTTCCTGTGTGACTCTGCTAATGGTTGTTTTGTTCTGTTTTTGGCAGAAACCTCTGGATATTTGTGTCCAAGTTTACAGAGTTTGGTGCCAGGAAGCTTCACAAGCTTTACAAAATGGCACAGAAGAAGCGATCACACGAGGAAGAGGCAAGTGGTTCCTGTTTTTTAATTGTTGACGCTCCGGTTTATCAAAAGTTAGGAAGTGAACTTGTTGTTTCTGGACAAAACCAACACTAAAAATATCCTGTGACATCTTCAGAAGGAGCAGAAGAAGAAGGACGACCCTGCAGGGAGGGGGAAAAACTTCAGACCGGAGCCCTCTGGATCCAGTCGAGACTCCTCGAGTACTCAGTCGTCCTCCAAACCTGTCCCTCACTCGTCTCAGCCAGGCCCCCATGGACACCACAGAGAGTCGTACAACTCGGCTAACAAGCGGCACTTTGGAAATGATGGTACGTACGGATAAAATATTTTAGTTTACTAAAACTATTTCACAGTAGGCGCTGGACAAATTGAATTATGGAGGTGCTGGCAGGTAGATTTTATTAACACTGGACAGGCTAGCAGTTTCTTCCTGTTTCATGAACCTGAAAATGAGCATTATGGTTCCTCTTTAAAGGTACGCATTAAGCTTTCACAAATATTTCATTACAGATAGAGGCGACTGGCAGAGGGATCGTAAATACAACTACCCAGGTAACAGCAACCAGTCATGGCAGGGAGACCGACATCATCCATATGATCGCTACAAGGATCACTATGGCGATCGGCGTCCACACGGAGACTCGTACCGCAGCTCAGGAGGTTACCGCAACAACAGCTCCCCTCGGAAAAGGCCGTATGAGCAGTACAGCAACGACCGGGACCACAGGGGTCACAGACCCTATTATGACAGGTGAGAGTTACTCTGATTACTTGTTTTAGTTTAGTTTTTTGTTTGAATATCAGGGAACCAGTGGTGTAACAAGTACTCTGATCCTTTATTGAAGTAAAAGAATTCCTACCACACAGTGAAAACACTGACTTGAGTTCAAGTCCTGCATTTACAACTTCTGTGTGTGATCAGGGCCTAAAGGTGCAGGTACCATGAATCTGTACTCAAGTATAGTACTTGTGTAAATGTTTCAGTTAAATTTTACCACCGCAGGGAGCTTTGATGTCGTACCATTGTTTCTGAAAACATGCTATTAACATTTCAGGCATTCAGACCCCAAAAGAAGACGTCCTGATGAATTCCGTCCCAACTACCACCAGGGAAGAGATGGCCCTCTTCAGGACTTCAGGAGGATGCCAGAGCACAGGCCGTCAGGTCCACCTGGGCCGGAGCACTATAACAGACCCTTCCACCCTGACAAACCTCCTCCGCTGCTGGACCCTCGCTCCCCGCAGGCTCAGAAGTCTCCCCAGGACTCGCGCTCCCCACCGGAGCGGCCCATAGATCCAAATATCGTGGCAGACCCTAACTGGAACAACAGGAAAACATAAAAGTACGCCAGCACTGGCTGAGAAACTGATCTGGGCGTTTCTGTCCAGGGTCAAAGCCACATACATGCTGCTGATGGACAAGTCTCGACTCGCCAATCATAAGCTCACAGTTGGAAAGGGAATCAACACGTACCCTCTTTACCAGCAAAACTATCTTTGCTCTTTTTCTCCCAGTGACTGTGGCTGTGAATGATTTGTACCCTGAAGGAAGAAGTGTGTGTTACTCCTGTCATCTTCTCGATGAAAAACTTAAGCATCTTTATTTAAATGAATTGACTCAAATCAGTCGACCGCGGTGAGACTGAGCGGAGTGCTTATGGATGCTTAGTCCCATGGACTATTTTCTAAGCAGAATTTAGGATAAATGAACTGATGACTGATCTCAAAAATCCTAAAAGTGCCTGAAGGCTTTGGCCTTTCTGAACGGTTAATGTATGGGATTATTCCCAAAAGGAAGCATGACACGGACATTATTATTTTTTTGTGTTTAGCTTTAAGTCTTGCTGATGATGTCATTAGAAGATTTCAACTTGAGAAGAATGTGTAATGTGTTATCATCCGCACCTTCGAAATGTTTATCTTGAACATGTAGCTGAACTGAATCACCATGTGGGGTTAAAACGGTGGTGTCGGTGGCACGGCCTAATAACTCTTACGAAATTTGAATGATCAATGAAGCCAGTATATTTCCTCTAAACACTCTACAGAATGTTTTAGCAAACTTCATATTGCTCATGTGTACAAATAATCATTATTTCTGTAACTGTGTAGCTCTATAAATCATGGCAATCCTCTTGCTTTGTTCACTTTAACCACTTTCCCTCGTAGTAGGCCCAATGAAATGGAAGCTTTCTAAGCAGTATTTATTACAACAACTTGTGCAAAGGCTCATAACACTATGACTAGAACAATCCTTTATTTTGCCTTTCAGTATTACGACGGTTAAGAATGGTACTCCAGTGTAGTTTCATGAATTCACCTAGAATGGAAGTACTCGATTACGTCTGAAAATACTACAAGATAAAACATTTTCTTTCCTTATCAATGGTTTGGCGATGCTGTCGGTGTTAGGTTGCTTAAGGATTATCAGGAAGTCGCTGATGACATTTCATCATGTTTATTACCTTTGGTCACTTTTCTCCCTGTGCCAAACCTGCAACCTGCGCTGGCCCCCAAATGTTCTTTTTTTTTTAATTTTTTTTTTTTTAAGCTTCTCCATTTGTGCCTTATTTATGTGTGTATTATCATACTGTATGTTTTTCATGGACAGTACCAGGGCCTGACACAGGCAGGATGTAGTATTACAGTCTCATTTTAAAGAAATGGCTCTGAATGAACTGGTGAAGGGACCATGTATTCTGGTAATCATCATGTGGTTCTGGGGTTTCCAAAAGAGTTGATGATTTGAGGGGAGGAAAAAAACAACATAAATATAAAGAAATCGTGTGTGTGTGTATGTGTGTGTGTGTGTGTGTGTGTGTGTGTGTGTGTGTGTGTTTTCATCTGGGGCACTTAGCCGACCTGTTACAGTGAACAGCCAGCGCATCTTTTCTTCCACGTTAAGCAAGCTACAGTTCCTGTATCATATGTTCTTTAAGAAAGTCTAGATAATTTATATTTGTGACAAAAACCACTCTTCATGAGAAATGTGCTGTACATATGTTTGGACATATGTAATAAACTTTGTTACACAATGAAAACATGTCTACTTTTATTTCCTTCATTCAAATTGACCTGATAAATGCATTTAGTTATCATATTGTCTCTTCCGTAAAGGCGGGTTGTATGTCGATTCTGAATGGACCACAAGTGTCTCATGTCAAATTTGTAAAAAAAAACTTTATTTTAAGTACAGTGATTTTCTGAAACACAGCTTTTATTTTGAAGTGCCGTTTCCTGCTGTAGAGTGAGTGACCAATGGAAAGCTCCTTGACAGAGACAGCAAACTAACTGGACGACATGTCCAAACACAAGTATGACACTGAATGTATTAAACTGTGTGGGCCTTGAACTAATGACTAAGGAGAAATCTGGACCCCAGGGCTGGAACAGTTGGCAACCACTGAAGGATAAAAAACTAAGCATTGTCTTTGAACACTTACTAGTTTTGTAAAAGAAAAAAAAAAAAAAGATGACCTCATATTGGGACAATGGGTTTATTTTTAATAGTCACAAGTGTGTAATAAAGTACAAAACAGTTTATTTCAGAAACAAAATTACAAACAATGCAACATCTGTTCAGTGTCTCTTGCCTCAGTTAGGGGGTCACTGTTGAAGACTAAAACTATTAATATAAATGAACATGGCTGTGCAAATACAAAATTACAAATGATGCAACATATCTAAAAGCATTGTGATTTGTTCATTTGGTAACACTATGCATTTTCTCTGCTCCTTATTCAAAGCTACAAATGTCTTCTTTGTCTGTAGGAAGAGTCTGTCAAAATGAATTGGCCTTTTTGAAATGCTGTAGTAATACAATAATAAAATCCTAATGTGCTCAAACCAGCACTTCCTAATTAACAGTATGTTTGTTTGTGACCATTGATAAAATTGGTCAGATTTGTATGCCATATGAATGTACAATTATTGATGTACATGAACAAGTTTCAGCCATAATACCTAATCAGATCTTGTATCTTTTTCACTTTTGTTTCGTGGCTGTCATGGACACGAGATGCACACTTTCTTCTGCGCAGTGTTACAGTTGGTGAAGGTCAGTTGAAAGAAAACTGGTTTCAGTTCTCCAATATCACCACTAGATGCCACTAAATCCTACACACTGGACCTTTAAATGTGACACAATTATAAGAATGATGCAATTTTGCTCCTGTTTTTACAATTAAGAGTGGCATTTATAATTTAAATAAAATGTTCAGACTTGGTCTCAACTCCTGATTTATTTAGAGATATCCGGATGTCTCCTAAGTCAGTAAAGAGTAAACAGAAGAGGCAGCAACTAGACTTTTTCCATATTTTGGAAACGTTTGATAAGCTGATAAGAGGTAAAAGGCCTGTCCCAGTACTCAAACTGCAATACAACATGAAAAAGCTAATGACATAATGAATTTAACACGATCAAATACGATCACATTTTCACAGGTGTCCACATTTGCCACATATGTATATTCATTCAAAAAATGTTCAACAGTCATATTAGCTGAGCTGTAAAATACAGGAATTCAGGTGTGTTTGAAGGACAATGAATAACAAACTATGTCAAAATGTAGAAACTTGCCAGTAACCTTATTACGGCAATGTTTCATTTTTAGGTCGATCTCTGAGCCCAAACATTTTATGGGGCCATTTTATTAAGATTTTATGAATCATATCCCAAATACAATATCTTCATTACATAATTGTGGGGGAATTATCTTATAATAAGCTTTGCTCCTGCACTTGCAATTTACTGATGCATATATTGTCTTGGATACGTCTTTATTATGAATAAAGCGGACACCTTTGGAGGTTTGCTGTTGGCTGGTTCAGTGCTTGAGCTGGGCCACTGTTGGTAGACATGATTGTAGTTTATTAGCTCTGAAATGTAACTAAGTACTTTTATGAGGTACTTTTTTTAAGCACAATTTTGAGGTACTTTATCTAAGCATATCCAATTTATATTACTTTATACTTATGCTCCTTTTCACTCCACTATGTTTGACTGCTATGGTTACCAGATACTTTAACATACAAAACATATGATCAGTTTATTAAATACAGTATGTTGATATAGACTAAAGCTCCTGACAGTGTTTTGGTTTAAAGGTTTGATTTATTGAGGGCCTCAAAATTGTTTTTTTGCCTGACCTAATGCTGTGGTATGATTATCTAACCACTGCCAGCTGTATGACTGTGATTTGCTCAGCCCAATGATGTAGCATGATCACCTGATCATCATCAGCTGTGTGACAAGGGTGTGGTCCATATAACAGATCAGTGTACCTGTGTCTCAGTATGTTTGTTGATCTTCAAAGTAAAAGAGATGCATATGGAGCCAGAGTGTGCAACACTTGTTTTCTACAATCATAGATTAAAGGCCCCACATAACCTCACAGGTGTTTTCTGTTGATTACATCTCGTCAGGTTGGTGTTGGGCAAAGCTCTGCTAGGATCTACATGAGGTCATGTGCTAATAAGAAGGTGTAAATTGCCTCACAATGAAACAGGAGAGCCCCAGAAGTCAGGAAAAATGTATTTTTTAAATCTTGCTGCACATGATAATAACTTGTGTGTACAACTTAATATCCTGTGTGTATATAAAAAAAAAAAAAAAAAAAATCTTTCAGGATCCTGAAGACCTCAATATTCTACTGAAACTGAAAGGGGACATTTTGCATGGTGAGTACTTTTACTTTTGATACTTTAAAGGTCCAGTGTGAAGGATGTATTGGCATCTAGTAGTGAGGTTGCAGAACTGAAACTTCCCTCATGTGCCAAGCGTGTGGAGCTACAGTGGCTGACGCAAAAACGCAAATGGCCCTGTCTAGAGCCAGTGTTTTGTTTGTTCTAGGCTACTGTAGAAACAACATGGCAGTCTCCGTGGAAGTGGAACTGCTCCGTATGGAGATATAAACCTCTCATTCTAAGGTAATGAAAATACAATTCTTATTTTCAGGTGATTACACACAAACAAAAACCTAGTTGTTAATATCTTGTGTGTTGTTTCTGCCAAATAGATGCCCCTGAATCCTACACACTGGACCTTTTAAATACATGCTGTTGATAATACTTATGCAGTTTTACTCAAGTAAAATTTCAAATTGAGGACTTTTACTTGTAACAGAGTATTTTTAAACTGTTGGATTGCTACTTTTATGTAAGAAAAAGATCTGAATACTTCTTCCGACACTGATTGTGGTCTTTTAACACTTGAATTTTGCTAAAATAACTTTCAGCTTATTCAAACAAAACTTTTATGACTGACTTTTTACCAAGAAATTGTAGTTTTGGGCTCATAAGGATCATCTTGAGACGTCTTCCCACTACCATCTGCTCACATTCACCACTACATCTGTACAGCAGGGGGCAGTCAAATACTGCAGACCGCTGCGACACAACACATGGTTGAATTTCAAAAAATGCTCCCACACCAACAGAGACGAGGGCACCTTGATAACAAGACATTTTCTTTAATTCAATAAATAATTTACATTATAAACAGCTGGCGTGTGGCACCACATTTGCTTTACATACAAACACAGTTTGATCTTTCTGGCATTTCCCATTCAGCTATTTATTTAAATTCTTTTCTACCATTACAAGTCTGACACAGAATCTCAAACAAAATAAGAGCTAAATGGAAACAAAAGAAAACATAAAGTGCTTTAAACTGAAAAACAAGAACACCCCAGAACATGTTCCTACATTCCCTTTCTAGATGAGGTGGATGACAACCCGCATTTTATCCTTTCTAGGTGAACATACTGTAAATCGTAAAGAATATTCAGTTCTGTGGTGTTAAAGCTTTTGCAAAAATCCCTTTTCGAATAATTAAAAAAAAAAAGGTTCACATTCACCGAAACATCTGATGTACAAAAACAGGAGTGATAAACTCAGAACACAACTGGTAATATACAAATTTAAACTCACAAAACATATGTACAATCTCACATTTCACATGTAGAACCATTTACTGTAAAACTCACAACACAAATTACATCTATTAACACAAGATTCAACATTACAATCATTTGTTTGTACGATTTTTTCTTTTTTTTTTTGTAGTTGTCAAACTGCACCAATACATGTTCCAAATAGCAGTAGTAAGGCCTGCCGAATACTTCAGTGTAAAGGAGAAATGACCGTAAGACTGTGCCCGAGCAGTAGCAGTATCTACAGGGATGACTTACACGTTACCAGATACTGCAGCCAAAGTTCAAATGGAAAGTGTTATCATGAAACACAAGAAAAGCAAAGGTGAGAGTGCTAAAACGGAAACTGACGCTGCATTTACAGTGTGTTACTGTACTGCGAATTCACCCACAGACACAAGTTATATACAGTTAAGATTCCTCTCCAAACCCACCCACCCACCCGCCTACCCACCCGCCTACCCACCCCAATGTGAACTGTTTAAGACTGAAAGCTGGAAATTCAGTTGTAAGGGAAGAGTTGGCACAAGGGCTTGTTCTTTGGCAATGACTTAAGCCATGAAATCACGTCTACAGACATATGCTTATCATTTACGCACTAAGCCACAGTCAGGTCAGCACACTGGTAGTCTATAAAACGCCGAGCTGACTCGAGGTGACATTGTTACAGCTAGCACTAACAGTATCTACACCGCTGAGACTTGAAATGGAGAGTTCGCTTTACAAAACGCTATCAAAGAGGTGTCGTAGTTTGATTGGTTGATCTACATTCTGTAAACGCTATGAGTGCCCTTAGCTTAGTTTGTTCTTTTGCTTGTCTCGTCAGCTACATTCACATTACGGATACAAAACACGGTGTGATCAGCACATCGGCTCAAACAATGGAGTGAAAGTCTTTATGACACTGGAAATGAAAGCAGATTATTTTTATCAGTTCTCTTTTGGGACTTGCTACTTGGCTGATAAGAGCCATTTTGACAGACCGTGGAGGGTCTCAGCTTTTCTATTTCTGAAAGATTTTGGGAGCAATGGAAAGACATGGAAAAGGTTTCTCCCACTGGAGGTTTTGTTATCTCATTTCTGGGAACTCCTGCACCCACAATCACACAAAATTAACCACAGACGCTGAATTCTGCACACATGTTGTACTAATGCGCACACACACACACATACGCACACATAACCTAACAATATGACCCATTAATCTCCACAGCAGACAACTGGAGACGCTGCTCTGACATCCTTTTGGCTGAGTGCTTCCTCCAAAAGGCTCAGGCTTTTCCAAAGCTGGAAACTAATCAAACATAGAGCTGCTTCTGGCCTTAGGTTAACAAAAGCCCCTGTCAGGTCCTCTCGCTTCGCCACATGAGCCACGGAGAGCTTCACTGGCTTGGCACCAATGAGTGGATCAGGGGGGAGGGAGGATCAGCAAACTCTTCTTTCTGCAAAAGATCATCTTGTCCGGCTTCCCATAGGCATGCAGGCCCGGTGAGAATGTGGGATTTAATCCCAGGTGGATATCCTGAGCTCTGGAGTAGCTGAGGCTCTCTCACCGCTGCTCTCATCAAAGCCCAGTCCTATGAAGCAGCTAAATGCACGTGATGATAGGTGGGGAGCACGGTGACCTCGCCTCGTCATTAGACTAAAGTCAAGACATGACAATACTACTAAAATGAGACTCAGGGCAGCGACTGCGCTGCTGGCAAGCCACCGGTCACATCACAGAGCCAGAGCAGAAGAGAGGAGCCGATGTACGACACAGCGATGATACTCTAACACTCACTGACAGATACACCACAAGGATACTGTTGTAAAGGGACTATAGATGAACTGTGCAACACTCAATCCACAATAAGACAGCGAGGAGGTTGAGGAAGAGGAGTGAAAGAAAATCTTTGCCCGTCTGTGCTGCGTTTCTCATGAAAGCATCCTTTTCAAAGATGTGATACCTCTTGCTGTTTGAGTGGAGCATTTTTACATCCTCAAAGGCGTAGTAGGCTGCCATGGTGAAGTTAATGTCTCCAGAGGAGAGGAGGTCAAACACACAGGACTGAAAGTACAGGTCCTCCACTGGGAGCCGCTCTTTGCACTTGGCCTTGGCGGACTGGTAGGTGAAGCCATGTGCCGCAGTGCCGCTCCTGCTCCTGCCCGCGCTGTGGGCCTCCACCGCTCGGGCCTTGAAGTTCCTGAAGTCGATGCGCTGGTTGGCGGGACAGCCATGAAGACACAGGTACAAGTCCTGGTTGTCGCCTTCCTCCACCGAGTTCACGACTTCCTCTGGCATCCGCACGGCAAAGGTCAGGTAGCGGCCTACCTGCCGCACCACTATGGTTGTTCCGATGTACCTGGCCTGAATCTCCACATGCTGCCCAGGAACCTTCTCCACCACGCGTAGGGTGTTCGCTCCGTGCCGATCCCCTCCATTCTTGGAGCCATCTGCAAACGCAGCCGGCAGCTCGTCTGTCTCTGCGTGGTACATCTTCTGATCCACACATTCCTGGAAGTTCTTGAAGATGATTGTCAGCTGCAGGAGGACAGAAAAAGAAATCTTATTAACGTTAAGAATAAATGATCGTATGTGTTAAGACCCTCACAAATCCAAGTACGCAGTCATAAGTGTGTTTTTCTGGTCATTTAGAAACTCCTTGTTAACGGCAGTAAATGTTAAACATCAGATTTAAGAGGGAAGTGCTTCTACTTTAGCATTAAGAACAAGTTTGTGCAATATGTGCCATCTACCCCACCACCCCACTTAAGTGTCACATTTCAGCACTGGCTCAACATGGGGGAGGCCAAGGTAAACGCCCTCAAAAAACACGAGTCTCGGCCATGTAAAAATCAGGCCTCAGTTTGCAGACACAAAGACGATCCATTCATAGCGCTGAAAAACCTGCCTGTGAACCCCAGAACTATGCTCCAGGGAGTGGCGTCGGGCCAGGACAGAGCAATATACTCTGCAGCTAATTAAGTGAGACTGGTCAGGACTCTGCAAGCTTGGTTTCATCAGGACACCAATGCACCATTGTCAGAGCGGCGATACCGGGACAGTAGAGGACTCTGATGTCCGCTCGCTTGGGACCAGAGGACAGGAGGGAGAAGTCTACAGAATACCATATTAGCTTGACAATTCATCTGTTGCACCAGCTCCGTCTCAATTCCTCCTACCCCTCGGGTAACATTTCCCACCTACATTAGCTTCTGTTTTCTTCCCCTGGATCATTTCTAAAGCTTTTAATGAAAACAAACAAAAGAAAAATGCCTTTGTTATCCCTGCATCAGAATGAAGATGGAAATAACCAGACAGTTTTATTTGCTGTAGCGGGAGCAATGCGGCAACACAGAGCTCTGCTAATGCAGATCTTTTTACCAGAGGGGCCTTGTTTGCACAGGTGGCATTGGCTGCTGCCTTGTTTTCCCTTTGTCCAGAATCAAGATCTTAAAAAAAAGCTGTCTCATTTCCTTCCAAGAACAGCAGTATAAAAAAAACGCCATTACTTTAAAAGCTAAAATCCCCACAAATGCTTAATAGTATCATTAGGAAACCTTGATTGCAGTAAATTATACTTTCTACCAACGTGATTACGGACAAAGTCCTCTTATAACCTGCAAAGTGGCTGAGGTCCACAATCACTGCTGTGGAAACTCTGCCAAATCCGGACCAACCCTAAGTGAATTCACCAACGACAAATACTCCTGCTTCTTTGTGTTTGACCTCAAGTTTTACCGAAAGCCATTTCAGGGACAGCCCGTCCAAACTAACCAGTGCACCATTAAACAAAACAACAATAATGAGGAATGCGCTGCTGATAAAGCTTTGAAAGAAAATATCTCATAATGTAGAGAAAATATCTACAGCTCAGTGCAGACACAACATTTCACTCCACGTAATGTGCTCGGTGTGGACTCGGCTCTAAGTAGGCCAAACATCAGCCCGAGCTGTCCGCTGTGAAAAGTGAAAATGGAGCCTCGTGTTAACATTTGATGCAGCACTGCTGTTATAATACTAACATATCATTTATAAAGCTTATCAAGATCTTTGCAATTGAGCTGCTTTTGGCTTCTTTATCTGTCATTATGGACCTCATCCAAACACTAACCAGAGTGCACAGTTTTGACAGAGAAGCAGCTCTCACAAGCAGACCACATGAAAGAAGAGACGAATAAAAATATGAACAGCGAGCGGTTTTGATGTATCACTGGCAAAAGGTCACCAACAGCTAACATGAAAAATCAACGCAACATGGTGCAACTAAAGATCATCTTAATTATGGATGAACATGTGGGGTTTTTCTGTTTTTTTATTTAGCCTGGAAAATGTCAGGAAATACTAAAAAGGCTTTTTGTTGTCTGACCAACAGTCCAAAACCCACATGTATTCAGTATGAAATGATAAAAAACTTTTGATTAGTTAAGCAAAAATGCCACAAATGTCCTTGTTCCAGCTTCTTGTGTGAGAATTTGCTGCCTTTTTTTGCCTTATGAGAAAGTAAACTGAATATTTTGAGGTTTAAGAACATGACATGAGGATGTCACCATGGAAATTGTGTATTTAATGGAGAAAATAATCAGCAGATGAGTCGATAAATCAAAGCTGCAGCCCTAGTTCATAGCCTATTAGATTAATAAAGCTTTTGTGTCTAACCTAAGTAGATCCTATTAACGTGCATACTGAATGAAGAGAAAGGATCCCCACCTTGCTTGTGGCTGTGGCCAAAGACCCCGGCACCACAGGAGTGTTGGTCACCTGTACAGACAGGTATTTGTTGTGGATAAGCGGCCAGGCTCCTTCCACCTTACACGTCTGGAAGTCGTCCCCAAATGTTCGCAGGTGCGGGTCTCCAAAGAAGCCACAGTGGGTGTAGTTGGGTGGCGCCGTGTTGCGCGGAAGACTGCGCTCATAGTGGCACACTTCCGGGCCATCTGAGCGTTCCTGGCTGTCGGGGAGGACTGGCGGGGGTGGAGGAGGAAGTGGGGTGCGGGCACGTGGTTGAGATGTCGGCCCCTCCTTGGAGCAGTTATGCTGGCTCATTAGATCCTCTATGCCATGCTGGGCGGAGTGGTACGCCAAGTCCCCCCTGCAGGTACGTGCAGTTCGGCGTACACAGCTGTTGTACGCACGCAGCGCCGTGCAAAACTCCTCCTCCGGTCCAGAGTTCGAGGTGGAGGCCCAAAATTCGGAGTTACACTTGAGGATCTTGCACTGCAGAGTCACTGTCAGGAGGAGGGAACAAAATACGAGTTGAACAAAAGAAACCAGAGGCCAGAGAAACATGATAGTGACACAGAAAGCTATAAATACACTTTGGCTGTTATCAAGGGTAGTTTAAAAACCACAGATTTACATAATCCTGAATCTAAATATCTAACGCCAATGCAGCCATTGTTGTTGGGGAACAGTGCCACACACTTTGTTTGACTACAGAACAGAAAGGGAAAGCACCTTGGTACTGTTGTTGCTGTGAGTTTTGTTTAGGCACCATGAAAACTGACAAACATCGACACCTATAAATTTATACACCATGAAACTTTTTATTATTTTTGAGCAAATAGTGCACAAACCCTCACAGGGGAAAGCAAAAAGCCGGTCTGAACCTCCCTCAGGTCAACCTGGATATAAGATAACACTGCTGTTTATCGCAGAATACTTCCATTTCACACCCAGTGGCTTGTGGTTTATGTCAAAGTAAAAAGGCCATTTGGGATCCTAATCTGCACCTTTCGTGATAATAAACGCCGCTCGACTGTAGACTGTTGTCTCCAGCTGTATTGCCACATCCGGCCAACTCTTTGCACAAATGTTCTTCAAACATTTCTCAGGATGCCCTGTTGCCACACCGTGTTTGTCCAGTATTACCTCTGACTAATAAACTATTTGAATGGGCTGTGAGAAGTTTCACCCAGTGTCTCGAGGGAGGGAAAACCATATCAACACTTTGAAGTCACACTTTAAACAATATCCCTCCTGAAAGCTTCACCGCAGCTCTCTCCAACCCCCACACTGCCTCTCCGTTTACCACACGTTTGGTAGATGGCAATAAACCAATCTTGATCTCGGCTATCAGTGCATTATCACTCTGTTGTTTGATGGTAAGTGACTTAAGAGGAAAACTGATAAGGGTTCTGCAAACATGCAAGGTGAGCTGGAATAGGTGTCCTCACTGCATAAAGTGACCCGCTGCAATCATCCCATTGTCATTACATGGATATTAAGTCACTTTGAATGCAAAAAAAAGGGGGTGTCTAATATAATATTACACTGCTACCGCTACAGCTCACTTGACCTTTTGAAAGTCTTCTCAAAAATAGCTGTTACAGTGGACTTTTAATATATCAACAGGCGAATTCAAACCATAATCACACTACAATCTCTACCAAAAAATGTCTTTATGTTTCAAGGGCAACAATGAAAACATCTCAAAATGCAATGCCAACTTGAAGTCTGAAAAAAGCAGCTACTTTCAAGGAGCTGAAGTGAAATACTGAGGCATGCACCATCCCCCAAACAAAACAAGGGTTGAGGGCTGCAGCAGCTCCAAAATGACCTCTCACTTTGTTTTGTCTTCTTCTAATGAAATAAAATAAAACAAAATAAACACTGGCTACCTAAAGTTGTCAAATTTTGCCTTGTAATGGCATGGCTGTTCACTTTCAAGCCTGTTGTAATATTTTCCAAACATCGAACCTTTTCCAGACGCCTGCACGTAAGCACTTGGCCCCAATATCTGTGTGATCTAGTAGAATTGGATAATTTTTGTATTGGGTTTGGTTGGATTCCAATTGATTGGCTGCGGCTAATTGTATAATTTTTCGCTATTTTTATACAAATTGCTGACTTAATCAAAAACCGCAATGTTTTTAGGGAAAGTAAGTAACTGAAATTCAAATACAATGTCAGTTAAGTATTTCGGCTAATAAATCAGGACCCAACCTGGCGACTTTGCTTGACATGGTGAAAAAGTAGTTAGTTAACGCCATGGTTAATAAAGTTAAACACAACGTTAGGTAACGCGTCAGTGAGAGCATGCCAGTTGGTTGCCACTCTTTTAACTTATTTTAAATGTTTTACTTTTCAATTTAAAAATAAGAAGTAGCATCTTACCGGAGGGGAAGAGTGAGAGAAACACCGCGAGGACTCTGCACACGTCAAGCGCCGAGGGTCTTCCTCTTTTCCCCATAACCATCCATCCAGCTCGGGGTCGCACTTCACTCCTCTCCCTGGTCAAACCGGATTAAGGAAGGACAGAGGAGAAGAGTTAGAGCCGCCGAGTCCTCGTTGAGAAACTCCACAAAAAGTCCATAAAAGAGGTCTGAAGTCGGTCCCGTCTTCTCATCACTATCTGGTAAGAAGTTGCTGTTTTTTATAACTGTCTTTCGTACGAGTTAACTCAGCGGCTACAGCGGAGTTAGCTAGCTAACAGTTAGTGCGGGACAAACGGCTGAAAGCAGCCAGCCAATCTATCTTCCTTTTAGGGAGTGTCGAGAAGGTGCAGCCTCTGTGGGCCAGCGGACACACTGAACCAATCACGGCTGCCTGCTCTGCCCTTAAACCCCCTCTCCGAGTTTCAAATTACAAGTCAATGTGTAGACTTGTTCGACGACGACCGAGTCTCCGCGACCCACAAAGTGGTAGTCCACAACGCCATATAAGAGAGGTTTGATTTGCGGCTGAGAGGAGCACAACAATAACCTCAGTGTGGAGGGGAAACCTGGAAAGGAAAACAGTGTCATCTCCGCACAGGGCATGTGTGCTGAGGTTTGAACAGAGGAGAGAGGAGGAAAACAACCAGCAATACAAACAAACATCACGTTTATTCACAAAAACATGCAAATAATATGTTTTTACCCTTCATATCAGCCCTCACTGCCATGTTTAAACCTACTGTTTCATATGGCTAACACTTAAAACGGTGGCTACAAACCAAGTTAACCTTTTCAACCCCATAAACCCATTGGCATGTCAATTAAACTTACCTGAACAGCAAAAATCCATTTAACTTTGTTTTTTATTCTAGTGGAGAACCCAAAGTTTCTAAAGATACCAACTTTCTCCGATTAAATGTTGGATAAATGTCAACAAAACGATGCAAAAAACAGCAAGAATACATTCAAAGAAATAGTGAAGCCATGATAAACTGGAGTCTTGGCATCATATCATTGAAACAAGCTGTTAGAATACACATAATTAGGCCTTCACCTTACAGTTAAGTCCATTATAGATTAATATTTGTCTATAAACAGTAATATAATGGTGAATTTTGCCCATTACAGTTTCGTAAAGCCAAAGATGACATTATAATATTATAAGTGGTTGTTTTATCCAACCAACACTTCAAAAGCGAAAGATATTCGTACATGACAAAGAAAAGCATCAAATCCTTATGTTTGACAAGGCAGACCAGGCAATATTGGCACTTAAATGATTAACCAATCATCAAAATTGTTTTTAATGAATTTTCCGTTGCTTGACAAATTTATTTATCATCTGATAGTTTAAATTCTATGTAATACTATCCAACTGTCAGGCATATTGTTAGCGCAATATGGGGTACATATAAAAAGGAAGCGCTTGATTTTAAAGGGTTAAAAGGGAATTTAATCTCCTAACAATCAAATCAAACCAAGGACATATAGATTTTGTTTAAATATTGGGGAGGACACATATTGAATGGGGTGTATAGGGTCATCTGCCAAGTGTTTGAGTGTCAAACAGTTAATTTCCCCTATTCTGGTCATCTTTGTGCACCTATTTGTGCCTTTTCTGCATCAATTTCTGGTGTAAATGTCTTTAATTTTATCAAAGTAAATGTCCTACATGATACTGACTGTCAGGCATGTTGTTAGAATGGTAGGGGTAAATATAAAAAGTTAAATAGAGCTTGATTTTTAAGGGTTGTAAGGGAATGTAAAATCCAAAACAATCAAATCAAACCAAGACTAGAGGCTTTGTTTCAATACTGGGTAGACACATATGAAACACATATGTATGGGGTCCTCTGCCAGAAAATTTTGAGCATCAAACACTTAATTTTTTTCTTTTCTGGTGACTCTTTTATGCACCAAACTGTGCCTTTTCTGCCTCAATTTCTGGTGTAACTGTCTATAATTTCATTCAAGTAAATGTCCTCTGTTGCCTTAATGTTTCTATCCGCAGGGGGCAGATGCAAACGTTCTAAATATCGAGGGGGGCCGTGTCCCCTGCGCCCCCCCTGAAATCTACGCCTGTGAATCAAACTGAACATCACAGGGAGCAGAGCAGAGAGAGCACATTTAGAATCGGTGTTTAAAACCCCACTTTGTGTGACATGCCTGTAATTACGTGATATAAACTCGTCCTCAGGTTGTTAAATGACCAAAATTCCCCAGGAAAAGTACTGAGCTGTGTGTTCTGTGCTGGATGGAAGCATTGTAGTTTTCACCGAGGGTTACACAGCATGTAGCAGTTTAACTTGCAAAACAAACCATGATGCCTTGCTTGAGTTTGAATCACAAAACAGTACAGGAAATAGGCCAATCAAAGCTGAAACTACAGGACATGAATCCAGGTTAGCATATCCACAATGTGACAGCGACCAAAAGGAGCCCTTTAACATTTGATTCACAAGTACATTGAGTAAAAATTAGGAATTCAGGACTTGTAGTCGAGTATTTTTTGCATATTGTTTAAAGGGCTTGAGTACATTTCCACCACTGATCAGAAGGCGTTGATCCCCTCCTCTAAAAGCCATAACACCACCTCCTTTGATTGTCTCTTACAAACGACACATTACTGCTGTCTTTACTGCCGTTTAAATCAAAATACAAGCAGACAGATGGCTGCACACTCAGGTTGTGGCTGGCTGTACAGTATTTTTCCATAGTGCGGTGAACGTCTTTGTGAAAGCTGTCCCTCTGGTGGATGATGGATACATTCGTGTACAATGAGGTCTGAGCCTACACATGTTTTCAACAAGGGTGGCCCTGTGCAGGCTGATTTCCAGCTCTAATATACCATTCATTCCCATCTGAAGGGAATGACTGCAGCTGAAAGGTAAAAGCTGCTGGCTGATGTGTTTTGATGGATTATGGAACATTTTTTTTTGGCACTTTAGCGGGGACACTGTGGGTATAGAGACAAACACAGGAAGGAAAATGTCCTATGACACTATAGGGTCTTTGATGCAGATATCTTTAAGTGTGGGTGATTCACATGTTAGTCGACTGCTGGTTAAAAAAATACCTGAGACTCCTTGTTTTTGAGTCACATCTAGAAAATAGATGGTGCAGATTGAACATTTGAAACCTGTTGCAGACAAAGATGCAACATGTTTGTACATTATTTACAGTCTAGGTGTTAATATGGTATGCTTTGCCCCTGCTCATATAATTAGTCAGTTGATTGGTTGTTAATGCCTTGGCTGACTAGGAGATCTTTAGTCGATTACTCGTTTTTTAAATTGTCTTTGTCATTAAAAGATTTCCAGCATTATTCTCAAATAAGCTTTGGTCTTTACTAATACATATTTAGAAATACTTGCGGACGACCGCATCCATGTGCAAAGTGACGATTAAGGCCGCAACTAACAATTATTTTCATTATTGATTCAGTGGTAGCTGATTTTCACAACTAAGTGATTAATCGTTTAGTCCATAAAATGTCCAAAATTGTGAAAAATTTCCGTCACAATCCCCCAGAGTGCAAAGTGACGTCTTCAAATTGCATCTTTTGTCCAACCAAAGGTCGAAAAATTCAAGAAGTCTTCGTTTACTATCATAAATGACAAAGAAAAGCAGCAATTCTCGCATCTGACGTTGTTTGCTTGAAAAATGACTGAAACAATTAATAGATTTTCAAAATGGTTGTCGATTAATTTTCTTACGATCGATTAATCGACTAATCGTTGTAGCTTTGGTGACAATGATACTGTAGAAAGGAATAATATTACAAATTTTTCATAAATATCAATGGATGACCACTTATTTTGTAGTCCACGATCAAGTTCTTCAGTTAGGAGTGATTTCTTATTTGGAATAAGAAATATCATATTATTCAAATTATTGTGTGAATGATTAGTCGATTAATCGATCAGTCATTTGACAGAAAAATTGTTCAAAAAGCATTTTAATAACCAGTATAATCAGTTAAGTCATATGTTCAGCAAATATGCCAAATATTCTCATGGTTTCAGCTTCTCAAATCCGTCTTCTATCACTGTAAAACGATGGCTTTTGGGGCTGTCTGTTGGAAAAAAGAAGCAATTTGAAGACCTCATCTTGAGCTCTGCCAAATTGTGAGCAATTTTTGACTATTTTCTGACACTTAATAGCGTTAACAATCAATCAATAGTGAACATAATGATCACCTGCAGCACTAATTCTCATCATAAAGGCTAATTTTATCAGTTTGACTACGCCACCAATCAAAACCAGGTTAGAGACCCTTTTCTTAGTAGCTATTTCTCATCAAGCGTTTGCCATCGGCTGTATTTTGGCCTTTGGATGACAGCTTTAGTGACCGATCAATTGACACATTGATTGACTGATTTTAACCTGTGGGTTTTAACAACATTTCCATGCAGGGAAATGACAAACCATGTGTAAATGAGTAAATATCTCCACAGAGAGGCAGATCATGTGCCCCACATGCTGTGACAGGTAAAGGTGACATAATAGAACAATAAAACATCTCCATAAATCCAGCAGGTATAATCCAATCACGTTTTATGATGTGCTGCTTTAAATCTCTGCTTATCACTTGACACAGTTTTGACATTTTCACACACTAAATACGGTGTCATGTAAGCAACACTGGGGAGCTGCTACATCTCCTGTTCTGTGTTAAATTGTGTGCACTAGCCTATATTTTTTCTCTGGGCATGTGTCTTGTGACGGCCACAGCAAACTGATCCTCTTTTCCAACAGATGGCGCTTGTCATGAGCTCTGATATGAAACCTCAAATCATGACACAAACGCACATGGCATTATGAGGACAACCAAACCTGTCATTAAATTTGATCTTTATGGACAGCTCGGTTATTGGCCTAATTACATGCTGTCATGCAATTAGGATTTAAAAGGTGTAAATCTGCAGCCAGCAGGCGCATTTTGAATTGTTGCACAGCTCTGAAGGAGATCATCCTCTTTTTTATTCTGCATGTCAAGTAGCCTCAGCGGTATATGTGGTTGGGAGCAGCTGTAATAAATGCAGACAATATGATAAATAAAACAGCTCTGCGTGCTTTAATATTTAAAAAGGGCACGTGTCATGTGAGTATAGTTTTTAATGCGCATTTCTTGAGTGACACCAGCAAAATGGATCAAGTTCTTAATATTGCAGAAAAGCAGCTCTCCTGCACAGATGGGTGTGAAATAGACATATTTTAGGACACGCAGATGCAGTTTGAACCCACAGCAAGCAAAGCAACAACTGGCAAGACTCCTGCGTAAAACAAACTTACACAATGTTGGTTAAAATCTAACCAAGAGGAACCAACCTTGGCGACTGCATGGGCTCTCCGCGACTCAGGGAGTCCTGCAGGACACAGCGAACAGGAGCGAGAGGAAGCAGACTCCTTAAAAAATCTCCCCCTTTCTTTAAAAAAAAAAAAAAACTCGTCCTGTGTGTCACTGTAATCCGAAATCAAACGCACCCAGCGGCTTTCTGAGTGTTAAATCCGCAAATGTGCGCATGGTGTCCACCGATCTGCGTCTCGGTGAAATGAAAGTGCTTTTTTTTAAGCTCTCTTGTTAGTTGGGATTCATTTAAACAGCCACTTCTCGCACCCAAAGGAGGGGGGACTCAGATCTCTGCAGCCATTGCCTTAACTTATCTGACTATCGGTCGATCGGAAAGGAGACATTATGATAGATTAAGTCCAGTAATTGCCCTCATCCGCGCGCTGGATCCAAATTGTTAGTTATGGTCGACGACTGGGAAGAAAAAAGCCCTGAGGGCAAAGCTGCTGCTGTTACTGCCTGTGCTGCTGATGCTGCTGCGTACGGCCCGATCCGCTGTCTGGATGTTGTGAAATGGCTAGTTAGAAAGTGTGAGAGAGACAATGATCGGCTCTGCATGACGCCGCTGGGAGCCCCAAATCTCAGCTGTGAGCCCCCCTCCCCCCCTTTCTGTAGTTGCTCACTCTTTGGGAGATAGGAGTCCTAAAAGAGTGAGTTGTACAGTGTTATTTTCTGAAACTAAACCCATGTATTGTCAGCTTTCACTTAAATCACATGCCATTCTTTTAATAGTGACATATGCCTTATATTTTGTGTCTTATTTCAGAATGATGTCTATCAGTCTGCAGGATTTGGATAGTAGCTTCTGCACATTTTGCAACAAAAATAAGAGTTTAAAACTGATTTGAGTTTGTGACATCCAGTAAAATGCCCCCACCCTCACCAGATAACCTTTAGCACCCCCCTCATCTCTTCAAATCACAGGTTGGGAAAAAGACAAATCCATAATAATCAGGATTTAATGGAGGATCAGATGGACAAACACTTTGCAGCAGGGAGGTAGAAAGGGGGGGTTGGGTATGCTCAAAGGCAGAGAGGGCTGCATGGAGGCTGCACCTGTGTTTTAGGATCAGACTGCATGCAGGAGAATACCACAACAGCCCCCCTTCCTCCTCCTCCTCCTCTTTTCCTCTCCAGCGTTTCGAGCCTCCACTCTGTACAACATAACAGGTTCTCTCTGCTCCAGTTTCCCTCTGATCAGGAAAATCCATCACACCAAGGGAGGCCAGAGACTTAACAGTGTCTAACCGAAGCAGCAAACTGACCAGTTGAGTGCTGTCAGTGTCTACAGTCCAGTAGAAACGCAGAGCTAATCGTTGAACCCCCTGCGATTTCACCTTCTGTTAATGCTGATGCAGTAGACGTTATTAGCATGCAGCCACCGGACAGGGCTGTCACATTACATCATCCCTTTGTGCATCCAGCAAGAAACTGACCCCTGTAATCCACTCGTTTGCTATCACGGCCCAGACCTGCCCTCCCCAGATGGCCACTGAGAGGCAGCATATTTTACATCGATGTAACATAAGAACATGAAAGAGTGACACCCCGGTGTGAAAAGAATGGTTTTAGACGTGCCGGATGCCGGCCCCATCTCAAACACAGCTGGTGGACTCGCTGCCTTGCTGAGGTATTATGGCGAGTTAACACAACAGATCTGCTTTACATATCACCGGATTAATAAAACACTTTTGTGTTGCAGTTTAGTGTCTGCTTCATTTTTACAGAACAAATCAGCGACAGTCAGCCATGTAACTATTACAGGCTCCGAATGAAAGAAGCGTTCGGTAATGCCTACCCTTGGGGCTGACTGTGATTTCCTTTGGTAGCCTGTGATTTAGTCCATTATAAAAATCTGTTAAGCTTAGTCTGTCTCAGCAAATAAAACAGAAAGTATATAGAGGTAGAGACAGAAGAGAAATCCGCCAGAGAGGAGAAAATTCCAGTGAGACCAATGTAAAAAAGATTACAAGCGCCTTGATCCTGGCAGAGACATTTATTTTTCAAACCTTGTGATATAGAGTGAATATATATCCAGAAAGGACCGGCTTACTGATTGATTTTATACGAACTTTCTTCACACAGAGTTATGGGAAGTTGCTGCAAGATTTCTGCAACATGATGAATCATAAACAGCAAACTGTGAGCTTGAGGAACACATGTAAATCTTGCTTCATTTCTAAAGATCATCACCCATCATCCCCCACTGTAGGTTCAAAAGTTCACTGTTGTCTTCCTCTTAAAGGACCATCATCAAATCCAACTCACTGACGACAGACTCAGTTTCACCACCTGTTTGTATCTCAGTCCAGATCAGGATCTTCGTGTGCAAATATAATGTGATTGTGATTAAATTATTATAAGGAGTGTCCCTCAACAGCTGACTGATGTTGGGAGTGGACGACATTATAAAAGACATGCGGGAAACCAGTCAGCGATTGCAGTATTTCTGAGTCAGACATGGATTAGTAAACATTGTGTGCTCTTGCTGACCTTCTGGTAGCCTTTTCAACTCCCGCAGCATAACAATTAGCTCATCTTTCCTCCAAGGTGTCACACTGCATGCCCATGCGACGCCCATGAAAGATTTGTCAGGGGCCCTTAAAGATTATACGGACACATCCTCCTGTGATTAGAGTGTCACCTGAATGAAACATGTTATTTTTCTGTTAATTGTGCACCATTTTAGAGATATTATTCCTTGTCACGTGGAGTTGATTAAAGATTCATGAACCCAACCTGTAATAGAGCTTTGAAAAGATTAGAGGTGGTAATTGATTATGGTAATTATTTTGATAATCAATTTAGCGTTTAAATCATTTCCATCTTCTCAGTTGGGAGGATTTGCTGCTTTTCTTTGCCGATTCTGATAATAAGCTGTGTATCTTTGGGTTTTGGGTTTTTGGTTGGACAAAAAAAGACATCTGATGACATCATAGACCAAACAGTGAATCCATTAATTGAGAAAATAATTGATATTTAGAGCCCTAATTTGTTATAATAACAGCTGATTACATTTGAAATAAAAGGGACCACATCTAAATTAGTTTTCTTTAAAATGAAGGTGTAAAAAGACAAAATAAGTGATTTAGCTTTAAAGGGATATTTCACACTTTCAACCAAACAGTTAACTGTTTAAATTGTCTTTGTAATGCTGCCAACCCAATGAGGTTAAACAATTCTTAAATCGATAAATACACACAATATATGCCAGTAAGATATAGTATAACTGTATAACTGTCATAACATACTGCAGCTTACGTACCACAGAGCATTAGGGCCACACTGAGCAAAACAAAATTGGAGATTTCAAAAGTGAAGTCATAATATTACAAGAACAATGTCATTATTAAATGGAAATAAAGTCATGCTATTATTTAAAAAGTTGTAACATTACGTTTTAAAAGTCGTAACTTAATTAAAAAAAAATTATGTAAATAAACTTGTGAAGTTTACGTAATATTTCATGTTGTGTCTTTTTTCTCATCGAATTACAACTTTTTTTCACATAGTATTCCAATTTTTTCTCATTAAATTACATATTTATTCGCATAATATTCTGATTTTCTTTTCTCGAAATTCTGACTTTATTTTTTAGACCTCAGATTTTTTTTCTTTGCGCTCATGTATAGCTTGGATTTATGCCATGTTGACTAAAACCAGAATTGCTAACAACTGCAGCTAATGTTAATGTCTGTCTGCTCCTTTAAATGACACAGACCGAGAAATACCCCATTAAATTTATGAGTTTATTTACGTAAAAATACAACTTTTTTTTCCATTAAATTACGACTTTATAATGTTACGAGAACAAAGTCATAATTTAATGAGAATAAAGTCATACTATTTAAAGAAAAAAAAGTGGTAATGTTCTACGTAAATAAACTCATAAATTTAATGTAGTATTTCTCATTAAGTCGTTTTTCTCATTAAATTACACATTTCTTCACTTAATATTCTTTTTTTTTTTTTCAAAAAAATACATATTTATTTTATAATATTATGATTGTCTTGTCCTTGAAATTGTGACTTTATCTTTGAAATCTTAGATTTTTTTTCTTCGCATTCATGTACGAAACAGTTCTGCCACGTTGACATAAGACAGGATTGCTAACAACTGCAACAAATGTTAATGCGGATTTTAAAGCTCTCATAAGAACAAGGTTGAATGAGTCAGTTGGGTCTTGCCATTGTGCGTAGGTGTTCTAATATTTCTACATGTTACTGTAGATCTTGTATGCTTTTTATTGTGTGGTTGTTTGGTTGTAAGCCATTGTGTGCTGCTGTCTTGGCCAGGTCTCCCTTATAAAAGAGATTGTTGATCTCAACGGGACTTACCCAGTTAAATATGGGTTAAAGACAAATTAAATGAATAATGATTGTCTGCTCCTTTAAATGACACAAGCCTTTTATTGTGTTCTCCACACACCATAAGACCCAACCTCTGTGTGAAATAATATCCATTTATGTATAAGTCACCCATATATTATTTATGCATATCCCTCAGTGTGGACTATAGCATTGCTGGCATGGTATTATGGACTGAAACATATCTTGTAGACCCTGCTGAGTGTATCAAATAGGACTGCCGAGTAGTTTTCAGTGTTAAAATTGACCTGTAACTGCCAGGTTTTCCTCCTTCTAAAGGCCGTTAAATGAGAAAACACAGTTAACCAGTGAGAGTCACTTGGCATTCAGTGAAAATGCAAATGGACTAAGATGTATGCTTCGTGTACATGATTGACATTTAAAAAGAGGGGGGGTGCATGCAGGAGCACTGTCTTTGGTAATAAGGTGTGCGTGTGAATTCAAAAAATTCTATTAAGGGGTGATATGTGGGGCTCAGACACTGTGTGGAATTACTGCCTCAGTCAGTAACAATATGAATGCAGGAAGCTTGCAAATTGGCCTGTTCATGCACACAGAGGAATGGGCTTGAATGTACAAACCCTCATTACAGAATCTCCATTCTCATTTTAAATAGAGAAGAGGAGTTTGCTTCTTTATTTTCTTTCCTCGCCGAAGCCAGACTGCAATCCAGAGAGAATTATGCACACTGTTTAATTCCAGACATGGACAGAACTAGACAGAGTGTGTACAGACGGCAAGACAAATAATTAGCTCCGCTGCTAAACAGAACTGATCTCATCAAGCCAGATTTTAGGGGAGAACCATTAGTGGATGAATAACTGTTTTAGACCATGAATGATCATCGCAATTTTGCACCTGACAGGGTTCAAAAAAACACACGATGTTGGTGAGCAGCCATGACGCCATTAGCATGCGAGATGCCATAAATGCATGCACGAAAACTGAGGCTTATCTCAATAAAACAGCTGCCATTTTAATTTCCTGCTTCTGAAATTCTCTGCAAAAAGTGAGCGACTATCTAAATATTCGGTTTGTGAATATAGAATTAGATAATGCCTTCTCCACACAGTGTGAAACGCCTTTTCTGCAATTTAATTTATAGAAATTCACAACTAATCAGCTCGGAAATAATAGGCATTTTGGCATGATGCCTTTATTTGTCTTTACTGTCACAAAAACAATCATTGCATTTTGA